ACTTCTATTGTTGGGTTTTGATTAAATGTACTTGGGAACAGAATTTTCTGCTCTTCACAATGTCAGACTCTATACATACAAAGCACTACGAATTGCCACTGAGGATTTCAGTCCTATTAATAAAATTGGAGAGGGTGGTTTTGGTTCTGTTTTCAAGGTAATTGAGAAACATTCTAACTTGATACTTTAAGTATTGCTTGCATTTGAAGTTGATTTCTCCTTCCTTTCCTTTTGAATGAAAACTTAGAACGGTTCCTATGAATGATTAGGGACGGTTAAAAGGTGGAAGAGTTGCCGCAATTAAAGTTCTTTCAGCTGAATCAAAACAAGGGGTGAGGGAATTCTTGACTGAGATTAAGGTGATCTCAGAAATAGAGCATGAAAATTTAGTTAAGCTATATGGCTGTTGTGTGGAAGGAAATCACAGAATATTAGTCTACAATTACCTGGAGAATAACAGCCTCGCGCAAACGCTAATAGGTAAATGCATTATATTACTTGTGTTTGGATGACTGTCTGTGTTTAATCTGTTAATTCTGTGTTTGAGATATTGAAATTCCATTTCTATTTTCCTGGAAAATCATTGCAAGGAGGCATTTGCTATTTTTATTTTGGCCAATTTGAGAAGAATGCTGTGCACGGCAACCCTGATTTTTTTTGTACAACATGAATGTGTTCTATTAACTTATTCTGACTCTTAATCTTACACGAATTCTATTTCATTAAGTTGCTTTAATTTATTTACTTCCAGGTGCACGGCGTAGCAGTATCCAATTCAATTGGCGAACGCGGTCTAGAATATGCGTGGGGGTTGCACGTGGGATTGCCTTTCTCCATGAGGAAGTAAGACCGCATATTGTCCATAGGGACATAAAAGCAAGCAACATTCTTCTTGACAGAGACCTCACACCCAAGATTTCAGATTTTGGGCTTGCAAAACTGATTCCAGCAAACATGACCCATGTTAGCACACGTGTTGCAGGAACTATGTAAGTATAATTACCTGATGCTTTTGATTTCTATTTTACAATCTGGCGAACTTGAAGCTTTTGGTTTTGATTTGTTTGATCTTTTCCCCCCTTTCAAACTGTGAATTATTCTTATTTTTTTGAAGACTTGATCCCTCCCCCTCAATTTTCCGGTTTCAAACTCGAGATCTTTCATTTTTATTGGAAAAAGGAGTTTCCATTTGAAAAAGGAATGTGATATATTTATTCCGTTTTTCCAATATAGCTAGACTCACATCTTGTTGGGGATCTCAGTTATAACTACCACCCCGTGTCTTGATTTAGTTCAATGTAACTGGTACTTGGGAGTTTGTATTCATCTACCATTGACAGAAGGGTTTAATTTGGTATAGCCAGTGCTGTGCTGCGCTTCAGTGCAATTATAATCAGCCACTACCCTTGCCTTCTTATTTTCTGAAGAATTAGGATTTGATAGCTTGGATTATATATGTTTGCAATATCCTGTTTTTGGATAAAAAGTAATTATTCCTATGTCAGGACTTAATGCCGTATGTTCTGTTGCAGAGGTTACCTGGCACCAGAGTATGCAATAGGAGGCAAGCTGACACGAAAAGCTGATGTATACAGCTTTGGAGTCCTACTTGTGGAGATTGTAAGTGGGAGATGTAACACAAATACACAGTTACCAATGGAAGAACAGTACCTTCTAGAAAGGGTGAGGATCTCAAATATTTGCAAAACTTGTATAACTTATTTTCTTGGTGAAAAACACCTGCTTGTGTAGGAGATAGACTACACTAACTTCACTTTCATATTTCAATATGAATGAGAGATACTTTTTGAAATGAATTGCGTTAAATGTCTTACTCATTGTTATTGATGGTTTGTTATGGCAATGCTACGACTCTTGGTACCATGTCACGTGTAGTGTTGCGATCTAGAACCATTATAGACACAGGAGTTATGTTTGTGCAGCTGTAACTTATGCTACAGGTTCTGCATATAAATAGGGCAACAAAAACCTTAATTTAGGTGATTTCGTGAAGATTATTATAGGAGATTCATTTGACTTTCCTTGGACTATCAATATTGAGCGATTTAGAATTCACGAACTATATCAAGCGCAAGAAAGAAGGCCATGACATCCTCCTTTTGTGCTCTTGCCTCTTGATATATCATTGATAGAAAACGTTGAGATATGAAGAGGAGACTGAAGCATTGCTTAAATCACTGCTACAATGTTGCTTTTGATGTAGAGGAATTGGTTGGTTATCTTGGGATAAATCTTAGTCTCCAAAACGGTTTACCATTAATGTTTTTTCATTGTTTTAGTATTTGGTGTGATGTGTATGACTATTATCTCCTCAGCTGCATGTTCTTGTATCTCACACCATTTTTGCATTATGCGCTCATGCTTCATTGTTCATTGGAGCCCCTGACATTACCATTGTGCTGTGCAAAATTAATACCTTTGATTATGTTGCTTGAATTGCTGAGAGAACTGCTGTTAAAATGAAATAACCAAGTTCTTAAATTGTCTCCTGTCTTGTCCGTCTATAGTACTTATCATCTTTAATGGAAACTAATCACATAATTGGAGTCTGGATAAATTTTAATTCTCTCTGGATTCATCTTCAATGGCAGAATTCTCGCCTCGAAACAAAGGGCCTATTTTGCTGTCAAATATTTTACATGAATAATTAGCTTTCGATGACATTGTTGTGATTGTAATCTTTTAAAGTGAATCATACTATTCATGACTTACAAACAATGCAGCTTTTTATAAACTTAATATTACATCTACGAGGACCTGCTCTTACTTCAGTTTGTGCTGTTACAGACGTGGGATCTTTATGAGCGAAAGGAATTAGTAGCACTGGTAGATGAATCGCTGAATGGGGAGTTGATGCTGAGGAAGCTTGCAGATTTCTGAAGATTGGGCTTCTTTGCACGCAGGATGATCCCAAGGTGCGGCCATCCATGTCTTCGGTGGCAAGCATGCTCACCGGCAGAATGCGTGTGGACGAGAGGGACATAGCAAAACCAGCCTTGATCTCTGATTTTATGGACCTCAAAGTGAGGAAAAAACCAGCAAGTCATATTGGCATAGAGATTACTGAGGCTTCATCTTCAAACTATTCATCCTCGGCCTTGTGCAGCCAGGATACCACTTTTTCATCAACTGTTTCAACCGCTGCAACTACAACCTTTGTGCCTCGATATGATCAAAGCATGTAACCCATCCTCTTCATTATTTCATTTCATGTGCGAGGGTTTTTATCTTCTGTAAATTTTGTAACCGTTGCTTACTTTTTGAGTGTTTGTTTGTGCAAGCTAGTAGTCTTGTTTAATGCATGTGTGATCAGGCTGGTATTTTAGGTATTTTGAAGATTCTTTCCCTTTTCTTTGCATGTCCAGCGATTCTCTTTGCACCTCATTATTGTAATATAATCTAAACCATCCAAAATCTAATATAGATGGTTTAGATTTAAAATTTTTAATATATAATTTTTTTCAATAATAAATTTATTTTTTAAAGATATGTTAGTTATGATATTATATTTATTTTATATTCTATATCTATTAAAACAAAAATTTAATTAAACTGTATAAAAAAAATTTAAATTCAATCTGAACCATCTAAAATCTATTTGAATGATCCAAATTGCGATGAGTATTCTATGCTCATCGTTATGACGAGGATAGAATGTGCTCCCATATCATATGCCCTTCCTCAATAAAGATGCTATTTTTGTCTCTTAATTCAATAATAATCTTAACCATTTTTGCATAAGTTATAAAAATATTTGAAAAGATTTTTTTTTATTTTGCCTCTTATAAAGCCAAAAAAATTGAAAATTAAAAATAAAACACTAGGGGGAAAACAGTATTTAAACATAAACTAGAAATTTCTCCATCGTACGATGCACAGATTAGTATATTTGACTAGATTTAAAATTTTAATAAATTACATTATCTAAGATAACTGAATATTTGCTTTTAATAGGAGTATTTTTTATTTATTTTAATAAAAATTTGAATTAGAGATGCGGAATTTATGGGGAATAAATAAAAATTTGAATTTTTTTTATTTATTTCACTATTTAAGCTTCCAATTGACATATTATTTAATTATGATACTTTCTATTTAATTTAATATATTTAAATACCAATTAAGATACTATTTAAATTCAAAATTAATTATTAATTTTTTATTTGAGCCTCCATTTGAAATTGTATTTATTTATAATGTTTCCCATTTAATTCAATATATTCAAATCTCAATCAAGAATTTATTTAAATCTCATTAATTGAATATATTTAGATCTCATAATTTTGTAATCTCATACCCAATTTATTTTTAAACGAATCGGGTATTACAAGTTTCTAAGAAATATTAGTTTATGATAGTTTAAATTGAAATTAGACGATTTGAATCTTACAATGGAGTTTCAGATTAAAAAAAAAATCTTACAATGGAGTAGTTTGAATAAAAATCAAAATTAAAGGAATAAAAACAAGGGGAAATTATAAAAAAAGACCTTGGAATTGTAAAAACGCAGATAGGGACCCTTGACAACTTCACTTTGGGTTTTGACAAGAATAATATGCCCTGAAGTTGTCAAAACCCAAAGTGAAGTTGTCAAGGGTCCCTATCTGCGTTTTTGCAATTCCAAGGTCTTTTTTTGCAATTTTCCCTAAAAACAAATAATTGTTCATTTCACCACCTCACCGGAAATTGATCGGTTGACCAGAAAAGGCCAAAAAAGAAATAAGAATTGTTGAAAATGACATTAAGACGAGGGGAAGAAGAGACAGATTATTGCCGCCCGGGGAGGGGGGGGGGAGAGACGTGACAATCGGGACAAAGATTGTGTTTCGACGCTCCGGTGATCGCGGTAGCGGCCCCACTGCTGCGGTATGTGCTCCATCATCGTATTGGATCTGTCGTTTATTTCCGAGTTTTATTTTCCTGAGGATTGACGATCGCTATTCTTTCTTGAATTTTATTTTCTGGTATTATCTTTTTCAAGTTTAAGAGTTGGGTGATTTCTTTAACGCTATGATCAAGCCTCTGTTTCCAACAACCATGCCAATTTTTTGCTTTAGCTGCGATAACTTTGATTTTGCTGCTTTCACTGTTTGGTGTTCTTGAACTTTGACACCGGCTTGAAATATCTGGTTTCATATGGAGCTTAACCTCTGGTTTTGGAATTTATTGTTTGGTGCCGATGATGGATATTTTTTTTTTTGGGGAGGGGGGTGTTGTTTGTGCAGCATGTTGCAGAGAATGAATCCCGACAAAGCTGAACCAATCTCTTAATCCTACGGACACCTGGATAACGAGGGTATGCAATCACTACTAACTATGGACCTGATGGAAAATGGGTATTTCCATTCCTTTCTTCTTTCCCTTTCCCTCCCTTCTATCACCAGCATCCTTTGACAAGTGAGAGTTTCCTTTTCATCCTTCCTGTAGTCAGCAAAAAATTAATTTTGAGTGTTGAGTGTTATAAAATTATTAAAAAACTTTTTTGGTGCAAAAAGAAGAGTTTTTCCTCTCATTTGGCAGCCACAAAGTTGTCGCGCTAGCTTTTACCTTTCTCCTTTGTAACCACGAAATGATTCCGCCATTATGCTGCTGTAGCTTCTGACTTCTTGGAAAGCCGCAGCATTTCTATGAGGAATCATTGTCCGTTGGAGTATTTCCTGGGAAGTCTCATTGCAATTTTTCAACCCTGTAGTATGGTTTCTGAAAACAAATAGGTTAAATAAAATTAAAAACATAAACATTATATGATTGTTAAAATCTGATTTGCTTAGGATTGGCTATTTCTGTTGTCTCTATCCGAGCTTAAACTCTTTTCTCCTTTTATTTTGTATGGCTTTTCACAGCATTTCTTTCCAGTTGATGTATACAAAAAGGGTTCCGTTAACCACTAACCTAGGATTGATGTATTGTCAGTTAACATACCATCTCCGTCCCTCCTGTTTATATTGAATGGATTTTTCTGAAATTCCATGTCATAGCTAATCTGAGTTATCAGGTATGGCTTTGGTGAATAAATTTGAATTTGATGCTTGCATGCTGCACTGCCCTGTAAAGGTCTCTCTCTCAATATTCTGAAGAACTCGTATGCTTTTCATTTAAACCCATGGCGCAGGAATTGCAGTCAGTTTTTAGATGTGCGATTTGCTTATTTTAAATTACATGTATAGATTTGACGCAAATTGGCAATCTATGCTTTGCCCCAGCTTGTGTTTAACCCTTGTCTCTATTTTTTGTCTTGCACCTTGTTATGAAGTGATCTTCATATTGCCGCCTTAAATGTATTACCCTTGTTTAACTTCTTGTATGCCTATGGAATGATGTGTGTGTTCATGGCTTGTAACTCTTGAGAGTGATTGCTCATGATATCTGTAGTCAGGTTCGCATTCGCTTCTATGCCATTTCATGCAGGGGAAATCCGTGTACTAAATTAGCCTCTGTTGCTGCAGTTTACTTGCAAAAGGACCCTATGTCTAGCATAGAGGATAACAAAGAACAAGGAGTCAATGTGAATACATCTGATGAGTCAGCTGATATGCCATCGTCCCAGGAGGAGGTTGTTGTCACGTTGGTTGCTGGAAGGGTTTTTTAAACCAAGAAAATTCAATTTTTTTTTGAATTATTGAGTTCATAAATCTTGCAGGAGGAAGCTGTAAAGAAAAAATATGGAGGAATTATGCCTAAAAAGCCACCTCTCATATCCAAGGTACATGCATGGGATTTTCTTTTCTCTTTTATCAAACAATCACATCACTACAGGATTATGCCCATCAGTGCATGTAAGCAGCTTGGCTAATGCCCATACATATCTGGTGCCAGATGCGCCCTCTTTGTTTCTTTTAAAAGTTAATTTCTATGCCAGGACCATGAACGTGCATACTTCGATTCTGCGGATTGGGCACTTGGAAAGGTATGTCTAGAAACCAGCCTTTTCTATATAATGTCAATGAAATAGAATATGCATGTCTTTTCATACCCCAAAAAAAAAAACAGAAAAAAAAAGAAAAGGAATGTCCATGTCTTGAATTTATCTCTTAAACTCATCTGTACCTTCACGTGAAACAGCAAGGTGGTGGGAAGCCAAAGGGACCGCTTGAGGCTCTGCGGCCAAAATTGCAGGTATTTAGTCGATATTCTCTCTCTCTTTTTTTAAGAACAATATATTAATATGTTAATAATATGTAAAAGTTATTATACAAAATTCCTAGCATGATGCTAGGAAGGAGTTGGGGGGGCGGCTTAAAGAAATTAAAGTCAGGGATTGCAGTTGAACTCCAAGTGGAAAATGAACTTAGAATTATTTTATTCTCTGCACTTGGATATAATTGAAGCCAACCTTTTTGGCCTTTTCCGCTTTGCCGACAACCGCAATGAGTAGAATACAGAGTTAAGATTACAAGTCCATGGGATCATGGTGATGCCGCCTGTGTCAGCTGAAGGGACAATTCATGGCAGTCTTCCCCAAACCACCCCCCCCCCAGGGCGCCAACCCCAAAAGAAGAAGGCAAAAGGCCAAAAAAAAAAAAAGAATCAAAGCACAAAACAATTAAATACCGTCGAACTGGTTTTTGAGATCTAAAGTGAAACCTTGAGCATCTAAATTTGACCATATCTGCCATTTCCATATGATGTGTATGTCAAATTTCTGCCTGGAACTTTTTTATTTCAGCCAACAGAGCAGCAAACACGTTACCGGAAATCTCCTTGTGCTCCCTCAGATGAAGGTATGCTGCGTTTAGGTTCTGTTTTTGATCTGGGAATAGTTTAAAAAGATTGTGAACAAGATTCTCATTTGTCTTTTTTCATAAAAGGGGGAAATATTTCGCTGGAGGATGCACCTTCCAATGAGTGAGCAGTCGGTCTTTTGATGATATGCTGACTATTCCGATGCCTGAGCTGGTATGGCTTGATTGAATAAACACAGAAGCACTGAATATGTGTCTATATTGGCTGAAGACATGTGAATGTAATCTACTGCTCCGCCGTAAAACTTATCAAGACTGAGATATTTGTATTTCCCATTTCTTCTTGCTTCAGGTATTTGAATAAACCAATAAGAACTTGAGAATGACATGTAACTTGTCTTATAACTAGTACTATTTCAGTCAATATGGCTCCCTCCTAAGATAACTGGATGCGACAATTGGTTATTTGTTGTGGTTAGTTTTCAATAAGAAGCAACTGGATTGAACTGGAATGAAATCCTCCAACAGAATATGGGACGCGTGGTACTTTGAAAGAAATTTTTGAAAGGAGGAATTAAAATGGCTTTATCTGAAGGCTATGTTTACAATTATGGAGTGGAGATCGAAGGGATAAAATGGAGAGAAAATTGAGGAAGTGGAGTGGAGCTTTAGTAGTGTGAAAAAGAAGAAAAATTCAATTAAGTATAGTTGGCAAATGAAAAGGCATGTCTGATACCGTATTTTAACGATGTGTTAAAATCCACTTCGCCCCATCTTGTTAAATGTTGCGAAATTTATAGTTTACTTCAAACCATGTTCGAGCTTCTCCTCCGATCCCTTGTAAAAGTATCTCGGGATGGTCAATGTGGTGTAAAAACAAGACAGGCAGAAAGAAGAATGTGGGAATCGATATCGAACAAAATGGTATGTTAATAAATTCAAATGGCTAATTGGATAAAACTCTGCCGCAGTAACCCAATTAATCTAATTGCAGCCTTCTTTGGCCCCAACTTCAAACAACTGATTCGTAATTCCGATTTGGAAGATCGACACGGTAGCGCGCAAACTTAAAGACTAATATTGTACTTTCCGCTTCCAAAGGAATTTAGAATGTATAATCTACAAGTTCACAAAAAATAAAACTGCAAAACTTTGGCCATTGCATGAAATTGTGATAAACGTTGAGAACTTCGCTAAAATCTCCTCTACACGCGTTTCCCATATGCCCCAAGAAACGTACATTTGGCAAAATCAAGCATCAACTATACGGCGTACATGGCAAGTACACATGTTCCACCAATTATCGTCGTCCTACGAGTCACTCAAACACCCCCCCGGGGGGCCAAGGGTTGACATCAAAACATATAGTCCATATCCTAGCAAAGATAATATTTAAACCATGTTCGGAGGGTATCAGCTTAGCCATCACGACCACATTACTCGTTGTCAGCATCAGTAAAATGGCAAATATTACAGACAAATCACTCCCACTAGTTACTGTCAGTTGATTAGAGAGAGATGACAGCCTATTTGGGGTTCCTGAGAACAATGATGACAGAATCTCCGCGGAGGAACATTTTACTAATGAATCTATCCTTGTTAACTGGCTGTGCCTTTTTCTTGCCTTTCCCAGTCTTTGGCACCTGGATGCAACATACATCGACTGGCTTAAAATTTATTTATAAGGGAAAGAAATCCATGACAGAGAATCACAAACCTCAGTCCACATTTCTCGGACATTCTCAAGCACCATGTTGCAGTGCCTATCAAAAGCTCTAACTCGGCCCAAAAGCTTTCTATTGTTCCGACAATTGATCAGCACCTGCACAAGTAAGATCTGATTTAAACCACAATAATCCACGCCTGCCATGGACCCCATAGTGCTATATAGGAACAAACATACCTGTGTGTTATTCTTAACACTCATCATGAGCACAGATAGCGGTCCTGTGTTAAACTCTTCCTCTTCATTCTTGCCACCCTATAAAAGGCATGAATGATTACAAGCTGAACAATAGCATACATTTTCCAGAGTTGTTATTGTGTACAAGAATACTGTATAAATAGCATGTAAGACCCCATATCTGACTTTCAGTGTGATTGCAAATCACAAAAGGATAAAACTTACATCTTCCTCCATTGGCCGGCTGAAAAGAGATAAAAGGGAGGAGAAAACCATATTAGTGATTAAGTAAAAATCTCACGATAACTTAATTTTCAATCAAGATGACCAATAGAAAACTGAAGTATACCTCATTTTGGATAAAACTGATGTTCAGTTGCACAATTCTTCAAATATAGCAGAAATTGACCTGCCAGAGAACATGTCAATCAATCCATAAAGTAAAAGAAGAAACAAGAATATAAGGACGGATTGCCGGTAAACTATGAGGGCTAGGACGTAAAATCGAATCATATAAGCTGCAAATAAGTTTCCATTCTTTAGAAATAATAAAAAGAGCAAGACATGTTATAACGGAGAAAGAGAAGAAAGCTTGCTCTGATAATATATTTATACAGCATATGAGATAAACATATATCAAAATAAAGTGAGTAGATCAATGATAAGTTTCATATCTAAAATTCCTTTTACCAGAAAAAAATACAATCAAATTCAAACCCAGCCCAAAAAGAGAAACTTATAAACCTTATGCTTTGCTTAGCGACAAGAATTTCAACGGAGTAGGAGGAAAGACCTAAAGGCCTCCTCAGTTCAGGAACCCCAGAAATTTTCACATTGGCAACTTAACATGAAAGTTAAGTCTGATTATCCCAAAAGGTGTTTTAGTTGGTAAACATCACATTGTTTTCCATTTTTGGTTGAGGTTTAGGAAGCAATAAGAAGCATTGCTTACAGAAACAACCCCAACCCCTTCCTCACAAGAATACAATACCATAATGGCTTGGGCCCAAGATAGTCTCAAAATCCCCAAATCCTCATCTATGCATATCTCACGCCTCTGAAAATAATAATTGGACCAGAATTCTCATGTAGGTTGAGCAGAGTCGCCAGTTGCCATCGACTGCCATGCTCTAGGAGCCTAAGTTAGAGAACCAGGTCTTAAGCTTTTAAAAACGAACAAAAATAAAATAACACGAAACAAGAGAAAGAAGCGCTTATCAAACATCAGTTTCAAGTCTCGGAATGCATCCACTAAATGGTAAGGAATCAACGAGAGAGAAACAATGGATGTTTCTAAAATAAGTATCGGCAACTCATACATCCAGAAACATTTCTCAAGAATATAAATTAAGAAAAGATATTAATCTAACAAACATTAGTGTGACTGAGAACGAAATTTCAATTAAGAGAAACGCAGAAGCTTTCCGATATGTCTCTTCAGTTCAGGTCTCCAAAAGCATTCTTCATGAACAACTAATCAGAAGAACGAAAGTTTACTGAGTTTGTTCCTCATCAGAGACGAAAGCTTGTTCAAATCAAATTGAAAAGCAAACACACCAGCACAGAAGCCGAAACTTCCCACGAAGTAAGCAACGAAGAAAAGGGAAAAGAAAAAAGAAACAACAACAACAAGAAGATGGAAGCTTAAAAATGATGCATACCTCAATTCAGAGTAAAAAGAAAAAATGTCGATCTTGAAAGCTAGTCGCACCAACTTGAAGCCAGGGCTCCCGGGAGATGTTATGCTGATAAATCGCAAAACCCTAGCTCGGTTGTCTATAATTTGAAATCTCGTTCTAAACCTCGAAACGCATGGTCATATCCGGTTAGTCCAATTGGAGATCCGGCCCATACGTGCTTCTGGGTTGCCTTTTTGTCTGTTGAAAGTTGGGTCACGGAATTGTCCAAAATAATTTACCAGAATGATCTGAAGAGGCCGCTGATTACTAGGGGCATTTTACTAATGATGTTAGGTCAATTAGGACTTATTTGGATTGACTTATAAATAGTTTTTTAGAAGTGATTTACATAATACAAGGTAAACATATGAGAAGAGTTTTGTCTTAATTTATGTGAACTTGTTTAAAAATCTATTTTGAACGGAGCTCCAAACAAGTCTTAAAAATTGGCAAATTTTGTCTAGCCATGCATATAAAAAAGATCTTATATTTACTTACCATTTAGCTAAAGTCTCCCACAGTTGACCAAAAAAAAAGAAGAAGAAGAAGCTAAAGTCTCTGATATCATGGAAGATAACTTTTATATACTTGATCAAACATCTCATGATAGCGTGAGGTAGGGCTGCACAATGGACAGACTGGACTGGACTAGAGCTCAATCCGAAGTCTAGTCTGATTTTTTGGTCGGACTAGGTTTGATAGTCTGTGGTTTGGTCTAGTTCAATGATGACCCAAGGTCGGGTTGGACTGGACTTGGTCTACCAGACTGGTGGACTGGTCCAGGCAGTCCAATTGGCCAATTTTTTTTTTTTGTAATTTTTTTCTTTATGAGAAATAAGATTTCAACATGATAAGTACAATTAAGACAATAAAAACTACCTATAATCATATAAAACTCGTCCTAAAATGTTAAAACTCCATCATAAATACATAAAAATATCTAAAAACATTAAAAACAATCAAAGGCACCATCTAAATTACAAATTATTAAAAAATAAAAAATTCACCTAGACTAGACTAGACCAGTCTAGGTGATATGATCACTTGGTCTGAAACCCAGTCCAGCCCGACCAACTAGTCTGGTCCAGTCTAGTCTAATTTTATTATATAGTTAATTTGGAATGGATTGGACCGGACAAGACTACTTCGGGTTGGACTGGATTGGACCGGACTACCGGGTTTTTGCACACCCCTAGCGTGAGGGGTCACAAAGGATAAAAGACCTTTTTAGGGTTGAAGACTAAGAACGCACATGATACAAAATTTGCAGCGTTGGGAATGCTTTGTTTTTACTAACCATGGCTGTTTTTTTTAATGTAATTGTTTTTGTGAAATGGCAAATAAAAAAATATATTGATGTTTGTTTCGTTGATGCGTAGATCAACGAGAGAGCTTAAAAAGCTGATATTTTGTAACATTTGGTATATAACTTTTTAATTAATACCAATTATTATAAGTTCTTTTTGGAGACTTATAACTATATTTTAAATTAACAATTTCCAAATCATCATTATACAAATATAAAAATTTACCTATTGATATAAAAACACTGACTCATTTTTAATCCAGTATGCTACACTGATACCTTTGCATGCAATGTGATTAAAATGTTGGGCTATGGTTCATCTAGCATTCTGAAGTATTTTCTTAAGTGTATCCAATATCCTAAAATATTTGTAGTGTATTTAGCATTCTGAAACATTTTTTTAGGTGAACCTAGCATGTTGAAGTATTTTTTAGGTGTGTCTAGCATTCAAAAATATTTTTTAACGCATCCAATACCAAGTCAAAAAAAAAAAAAACTTTAGGTTGCTCGACGCACTTAGAAAATATTTCGAAATACTAAGTACACTACAAAATACTTCAGAATGCTGAATATACCTGAGAAAATGTTTTGGATGCTAGATGCATCTTTTTCTTTTCTTTTTGTTTACCAGAGGGTATTAGATGCATTCTAACCAAATATTATAACCTTTTGCATATTTAATATTATTAAGTAATTCAAATTGGAATTCAAACATTGTTGAATCCAAATAGAAGTTTATAATTTTTTAATTATGAGTCCAACAAAATTCAAACATTATAAAATATTTTTGGATTTTTCAGTGTGAATATTTTAAACAACGGGTCATTAATTGCACTTTTCCCTATATTCCCTCCAGAATCCTAAGCAGGAAGCCAGATGGCAGTTCCTAATATCAGCGTGGCGTGAACCCTGGGGGTGGATAGGAATTTTTGCACGGGGCATCCTTGAATCTTTAATTCCCCGCCTCGGAGATTTCAAATTTCAAAACCTAACGGTCTAATTTTTCCATTAAGGCTAATCCAAAACTACACATCTATACATTCTAAAATAACGAAATTAACGCCATCTCAGAAAACTCGCTTTTCTTTTTGCTTTTTTTCCTTGGGTAAATGCAGTAATATCTTCTCTACGCTTTCATTGTTATTATTGCTGTAAATTCAAACAGTTGTCATTTTATCTATGGAGGATCACAATCAATGGCATATTTGCGACCCACTTCTTCTCACAGACGCCTCGTTGCAACAAGAAAACTCTTCTATTCCCTCTATTTGTAAGAACTCTGTACCATGATTATAAACTCAGCTGTCTGTTGTTAGGCCATCTTGGTTTATCGGTAACTTATTGTCTTCGATTTGGCAGACAATTCACAAACATCGCTGAGCTCTCAAAGTCCAACAATGGCGGATACTGAATGGCAGGGCAGCCCAAATGACGGTAAGACTCCGTAATATATCAGCAAGATCGATACTTTGTCGTTGCTGATGAACCCAACTTTTAGTTTTTCATCACCCATCATGGTTTTGATTTTCTGGTGTAGAATTTTCTTGGAAAAGACGAGTTGACAAAAAAGACGTGCAATTCGAAGACCCAATAGCAAAACAAGTGGTTGATGGTAAGAGAACCCCGTTTCTTGCTTTGTTCCACGCAACTCAATGGGAAATAGATATTAGATTTCTCAATTGTGGTTTCTCGAGAATCTGATCGAACTGGGGCTGAATCTTTCAGGCCGATCACTGTTAGGATATTCTTTAACGTCCCCCGATTTGGTCATCTGCACTGGCTCACCAGATATTGCCATGGAATCCCCTGAAATGTTGGAAAGCAAATCCCGTCAAAACGTGCCGTCGCCTATGGAGCTTTCTTTAGAGAATGGAATTAATGGGTCTGATGTTGTGAAACCTCGGAAGACTCCAACAGTGAAATTCTCCATGTTGTGCGATACCTTCAAAGAACTGTCTCCCGAAGCTTCTTTTGAGCTTTTCCCACCGCCAGAAGTCACCGATAAGTCGCCTCAAGACTACCCTCCTAGTTAGTGACATCTGTTTTTGCTTTATCTACTGTGGATGGAGATTTTAGAAAACAGCAGTGTTAATTTGTTTTACAAGATTGTACAGGAGAAAATGAATTGCAAGAAGATATGAAAGTATCACAGGGGGCAGAATTGGATTCTCCAGATGTATGCTTCTTTCTAATCGATGCCATTTTTACCTATTAGGGATGAAATTTACTGTGTTTCAGTGCGCACTCAATGTCGTTATTGCAGGATAGCGGAGATAACGAGGGAAGAGAGGAGATCCAGAAGCTGAGAAAGGAATTCAAGTGTCAGAAAAAGGAGCTGGTGGAAACCAGGAAGATGTTGGAGGAACTCAAAAGGGAGAATCAGCAGAAGAATAGAGAATGCCAAGAAGCATTGAAGTCTTTGCAAGATCTTCAGAATGAGCTCATGCGCAAGTCCATGCATGTAGGATCATTGGGTATGCATCCTTTTTTTCAGTTCTTATGAGTCTGCGGCTAATATTTCACTCATCTGATGTAATGAGACTTCCAAAATTTGCAGCATTTGCCATTGAGGGACAAGTAAAGGAAAAAAGTAGGTGGTTTTCTTCTCTGAGAGACTTGATGAGAAAAGTAAAGGTACTCATATTTTGACAAATTAATTAATTAACAAATAAAGAATTAAAAAAAAAAACGTGTATCGTAGTAAGCTGGTTACCAATTTCATTGTACAGATTATGAAAATGGAACACATCAAACTATCGGAGGAAGTAGAGACATACAAGAAGTATCTTGCAGATATGAGTGAAGTGGGGATTACTATCAAGTCCAAGAGTAAGTAAATACGATGAAGTTTAAGTTTCAAATCTTTATGTCAGTTGATGGTCGCACTTTCACATATTCTTATTTCACTCTTTGTAGTACATGAGCAGCTGGAGTTCCACGAAGATCTCAGGTCTAAATATCTAGAAGGCGCTAGGAAACAAAAAGAACTTTACAATAAGGTTTTGGAGTTGAAAGGTAAGCATGCACTTGATGTTTCTCGAGTATAAACTCAGATGTAATAGAGAAATTTAGAATGATTTACTAAGTATTACTTCTCACAGGGAACATTAGGGTCTTTTGCCGGTGTAGGCCTCTTAATGCTGAAGAGATGACATCGGGAGCAAGAATGGCAATGGATTTTGAATCAGCAAAAGATGGTGAGCTTACTGTGCTGTCAAATGGGGCTCCTAGAAAGACTTTCAAGTTTGATGCTGTTTTTGGGCCTCAAAGCAGATCAAGGTAATTGTGAATTAATATGCCATGAATCCTGTGTGGCGTTTTTAAGGTTGAAGACTCATTTTGGGCACCCTTGGCTTTTTCTTTTTTGTGTACGTATAGCCGAAATATTTGAAGACACGGCACCATTTGCAGCCTCAGTTCTAGATGGGTATAATGTATGCATATTTGCTTATGGGCAGACTGGAACAGGAAAAACATTTACAATGGAAGGTACAGAAAAGGCACGTGGGGTTAATTTCAGGACTCTTGAGAAAATGTTTGACATAATCAAGGAGAGACAGAAGCTCTATCGTTATGATGTCTCTGTAAGTGTCTTAGAAGTCTACAATGAGCAAATAAGAGACTTGCTTGTCTCAGGAAATCAGCTTGGAATAGCTGCAAGAAGGTTGCTTCTAAGTCACTTTGCCATTTGTGTCATGTTCATTCCTGAAGCCCTTCAAATGAGCCCACTGTTTAGCTTATTCTGATTGATTTTCGGATTAATAGCTGGATATGCTAACTGATATCGGGTTGAATATAGGCTTGAAATAAAGCAAGCAGGAGAAGGAATGCACCATGTTCCGGGACTGGTGGAGGCACATGTAAATAACATGACTGAAGTCTGGGAAGTGCTACAAACTGGCAGCAATGCTAGGGCTGTTAGCTCAACCAATGCCAATGAGCACAGCAGTCGATCCCACTGGTTGGTTTTATTGTTCATGAGTCGAAATCCTTAAATCTTAAGTAATTGCAAGACTTTGGCCAAGTTTCTTTTGGTGTTTGCTGTTATTTTCTTTAAGTGTCTATATAAATTGGAACTTTTGTCAGGTGTTAAGTGTTACAATTCTGTTGATTTGAAGAGCTACACTGAAAACACAGACCTGACAAATGTGTCTTTCTATACATGTCATGTTAGAATGGTGGTGTTTATAAAAGATTGTTCCTTCTCTGTACAGTATTCACTGTGTTATGGTTAAGGGGGAGAATTTATTGAATGGGGAATGCACAAGAAGCAAGTTGTGGCTTGTAGACCTGGCAGGCAGCGAGCGAGTGGCAAAAACAGAAGTGCACGGGGAACGACTCAAGGAAACTCAGAATATTAATAGGTCTCTCTCTGCGCTAGGAGATGTTATATCAGCTCTTGCAACAAAATGCTCACATATTCCTTTCAGGTAATCAAACTAGATATTAGATTTGATTATAAATATAAATAGTGCTGAAGTTTATGGTCTTGTTCGCGGTGCAGAAATTCCAAACTCACACACTTGCTGCAAGACTCTTTAGGTACTTCTCCGGGTTTTTATAGAAACGCGTTTTTAGATATTATTATAGATGTTACAGATATTTGACCAATAAACTTGCTTTTTAGGAGGAGATTCGAAGACGCTCATGTTTGTACAGATTAGTCCTAATGAAAATGATTTAAGTGAGACGATTTGCTCTCTGAACTTTGCTAGCAGAGTGAGAGGAATAGAATTAGGGCCTGCAAAAAGGCAATTGGACCCTACAGAACTTCTCAAATACAAACAATTGGTATGACTACTTCGTATATCCACTTTTTTTGTTTCATCTATTGCATTTTCAGCAATTTCTCTCTTTTGTCAGGCTGAGAAAACCAAGCAAGAGATGAAGATTAAGGATTTGCAAATCAAGAAATTGGAGGAAACAGTTCATGGATTAGATTCAAAGATGAAGGAGAGAGATATTAAAACTAAAAGTCTACAAGATAAGGTATATCATATTGTAACACGTGATATTTTAATTTTACTTTTAAATGTCTCTCTTAGCATTATTTGTGTTGGTTTGAAGGTCAGGGAGTTGGAATCACAACTTCTGATTGAGAGAAAGCTAGCGCGCCAACATGTAGACTCAAAGATAGCTGAGCAGCATCTGCTTAAACATCAAGAGCAAAACAGTACACCTGGGAGGCCAGCACTGGCAAACAAACCAGTAGGAACTCACGAGAACTTCACTGATTTCATGAGTTCAACCAGACCACTTATGGAGAACAATATCTCAAATCAACCCTCACTGCCCTCTTCAACGTTGTATAACTCTATCAAGTGCACTGATCATGCCGAAAAAGAGAACAATCCTGAGATAGTTGAGAAACTTGTATTGCCTAAAAGGACTGGAAGAGCTTCAATCTGCACAATTACACCACGTATTCCTTCAGTTACGACTTTAAGGCGAAACTCTCTGATACCTCTTCCAAGTGTGCCTCAACTTCCATCAACGATAATGCCAGTGCTAGAAAGTAGAGCTGAGGAGAAAGAAAGCAATGAAGAAGGGGGAAATAGTTTGGCTACACAGACACATCTAGAGAGTCCCAAGCAACGAATGAAAAGTGGGAGTAAGAAGAGAGGAAGCAGCATGCTTAGGCGAAGCTTATATAAAAAGATTCAGAACAAGTCGCCAAGTCAGCAACATATGAGAAGGGTTGGTGTAAATGTGGGTATGGAGAAAGTAAGAGTTTCTATTGGGAGTCAAGGAAGGATGATAGCAAAGAGGGGTTTTCTGAAAAATGGTAGAAGAAATGGAACAGAAGAAACACAGCAAAAGAATATTCAAAAAGAAAAGGAAAGGGGGTGGAATGCAAGAACGACAGGCAAATCGACTTTTTGAAAGCAAAGTTGAAGAGAATTTCTTGGAAAGACTAAACAATACAGAATAACCATGTGCATGTCTCAGAAGTGTAGGGCTTAATGATCTCACATGACGTTCCTCGTTGGTTTGGTTTCCGTGTTTAGTTGGACTCAGCTTAATTATCTACAAGTTCCTTGTATAGGTTTTTATTTTGTCAAACTAATTAGAGTGTGAAAGCATGTGTTTCTCTTTGATGATTCTATCATCTGATTGATTGTTTGTATTTATTTAGAATTTGTGAATGTACAAAAGTCTTAGTTTTCCATGTTTAGTCATTGTCACATTTGCCAAGACTTCACCTCTGAAGTTTTAAAGAAGTCACCTTCTACTAATGTTGATGTGCCATGTTTTTACTATCTGACGATTCTTTTATTTATCTTGGTTTGAAACTTTGAATCGTTCTTCAGAGAGTCTTGGAAGTTTTGGGCATGTTTGTTTTCTTGTGCCGGAAATAATTTTTTTTTTTTAAAATAAAAATTAAAAACCTCTTTAGTTGTCAATTTTTACTTAAGTATTTTGTAAAAACAAAAAAAAAGGGAGAAATACTATAATTTTACAAACAAAAAAATGCAAAAACAACTTTTACATTTTTTATTGCTTTTTTTAAAAATTCTGTTTTGCTATTTTTTTTTCTAATTCTTTATTTTACCTGTGACCATGCTCTGTTCTTCTATGTTGATTCTCAGCTTTTCGATTTTCCATTTGTCATTATTGCAGTTCTCATTCTATCTCTCTTCCTGTCAATTCTCTAAGTTGATTTTAAGAACAATTGTTTCAGAATAATTATTCAAACATTATTTTCAATTTTTTTCAAAACTTATTTTAAAAAACAATTTTATAAAACTATTCTAAAAACATTAAAAAAAAAAAACAGAAAGAAACAGGGCTTTTAATTTTATTGCCTTTTGAAACTAGCTCTTCCTCACATTATTTATATCCCCTCCCCCCTCCTCCTCCTTTAAACTAAAATCCTAAGAGCCATTATTTATCAAGCCTAAACATATTGACTTAATGGTTGGTGCTCATCAAACAATAACATAATTCATTTTGTAATCAATCTTCACATTGGTGATTTTCCATTTATTATTGATATAACAATAATCACGGATCTTCCAGCACTAAACTATCTAAATTATCTGCAACATGAAATTTGAAACATGAATCATGAAAATTAGCTGCCGAGGAAACTGAAACATGGAACAAAAATGCAAAATCAGAGAAATAACCTTATTATTTCAACTTATTGCAAAATGAATGAGGTTAATTCATCCTCAATGAACCCATCTCATATTTTATACTGAAGCTTATTATTTCGATAACATATATCATAATAATAATAATAATTAATAATCTAAAATATGACTCCAAATGAGTTTTTTAACCTTTGAAAGATGATTCATCATCATGTGGGTGTTCAGATGTAGGAATAGAAGGAGAATTGCTGACACACTCTCTAGCATCGATCAACATTGCAATGACCTCTTTCATTGTTGGCCTATTAAGAGGAGACACACTGGTGCAGAACATTGCAATTTTGAGAATAAGAGACATCTCTTCATTTGTTCTCTGTTCACTCAGATCCAGTCGCTTGTCAAATAGTTCCAATGTCGGTACTGCTGCTTGAATTGCTCTTCTCACCCAAGTCACCAAATCACCACCCTGTTCCAGCGGTTGAACTGGTGAACGGCCGGTGACTAGTTCCAACAAAACTACCCCAAGGCTATAGACGTCACATTTCTCAGTCACCTTCATAGTGTAAGCATATTCTGACAAAATTATAATATTCGCAAAGAACAAAATTGTTAAAGCCATTTTTTGTCATTCTGATAACAGATCAAACTTCAGTTTAAGAAAGCTATGGGACTCATGGCAGGGAAACAATATAACTTCAGAATTTAGAATTGTAATCAACAGAAGGTACTTTTCCTTTTAATTACTTACCAGGAGCAATGTAGCCATATGAACCTGCTACAGCAGACATGGATTTTGAAAACGAAAAGTCAATCAACTTTGCCAATCCAAAGTCTCCAACGCGTGCCTGAAAATTTTCATCAAGTAGTATGTTGTTTGACTTTATATCACGGTGGATGATTTGAGGTTTGCAGTCACAATGAAGATAGCACAAGCCTTCTGCAGCCCCAAGGGCAATCTTATATCGACAATTCCAATCCAGTGGACATGATTCTGGGCTTGCATGGAGTTGTTCTCCGAGGCTGCCATTTTCCATGTACTCATATAAGAGAATCTTAGAATCCCCGTGATAACAAAATCCATATAACTTCACAATATTCCGGTGCCTGATCTTTCCAAGGGTTGAAATCTCCGCAAGAAAGCTTTTGTCAACATTAGCTCTTTCTCCACAAGAATTCAGCTTTTTGACAGCAATCGCTTCACCATCGGCCATCATAGCCTTGTACACAGTGCCGCATGCTCCATTTCCTATAATTGCAGCTTCAGAAAAATTATTAGTGGCTTCCAAGAGATCCTGGTATGTGAAACCTTCTTTCGGAAAATAATAGTTATTTAGGATATGAGGCATTCTTTGCCTTTCTGAGGAGACAAAAGTAGGGCTATTGCGCTTCATAGCCCAACACATACAGACTATGAATGTAAGAGAAACCAATCCAACTACACTTGAAACTATACTCACTATCTTCTCCCTGGAAGAACCATCTCTAGTCCAACTTTGTTTTGGAGTAGCAGGTGGAGATTCGGATGAATGACAATAATAGGAACCTACTAGGCACAATCCGTTGTTTCCAGCAAAATTTGTGAAATCCATCCTTTGAAATGCAGGAGTGTTTGGAATAGTTCCAGTCAAGTTATTGTTAGAAACATTGCAAACCAAAAGACTGGGCAAGTCACCTATTGAGGTGGGAATTTCACCAACAAGCTCATTGTCATTTAAATAAAGGAATTCCAACATCTGTAAGTTCCCCAAGCTGTTAGGAATTACACCAGATAGTTTATTATGGCTCATATTAAGGGCAATCTGAAGAGCAGTAAGTCCTCCCAGATGTAAAGGAATGCTACCTGAAAACAAGTTGCCACCAAGCTCCAGCTCCGTGAGACGAGTAAGATCCCCTAAAGTGCTGGGTATTGCACCTGAAAATTTATTATCAGAAAGTTTCAACAATTCCAAATTCACCAGCTTGCCAATTTCATCTGGAAGGGCTCCAGTTAACTGATTCCTGCTAAGATCAAGCCTCTGTAGTTTTACACAGTTTCCCAGCTCATTAGGGATACTTCCACTTAGAAGATTAGAGGAAACATTGAATGAGACAAGTTGTGCTAATTTTCCAATCTCGGGAGGTAGATGCCCAAAAAAATGATTATCTGACAGGAGAAGCCTTATCAAACTCTGGAGCTGACCTATCCCTGGGTTTATTAGCCCAGAGAACCGATTCTGATGAAGTTCAAGTGCAGAAAGATTATGAAGTTCATTTAATTCAACAGGGAGGCATCCTGTTAGTCGGTTGCTCCCCAGCATAAGCTGCACAAGTGACTTGCAAGTTTTCAGATCATATGGAATATTTCCAGACAACCTATTTGACCCAAGGCTTAGAAATTTCAGTTTTTGATATTTGCAAAGATGGGCAGGTATCATACGGACAAGATTGTTAGCAGATAAATCAAGAACACTGAGGTTGCTTCTAGCTCCAAGTTCAGGAGGAATCTTACCCTCAAGTTTATTGTCAAAGAGCTGCAAATCCTCCATGTATGTAAGATTCTGGAACACTAATGGAATTGTACCTGTTAAGTTATTTATCGACAAATCTAGAGTTTTGAGTTGCCATAACTGCCCGAGTTCCCTGGGGATTTCTCCCTCCAGAAGGTTTTCAAATAGATGAAGTAGTCCAAGATTAGAGATCTGCCCCAACTCTCTAGGAATAATACCACTCAACAGGTTCTCAGAAAGATCTATCTCCATAGCACTTGTAAGGTTCCCTAGCTCCGGAGGAATCGTCCCATTCAGGTGGTTGGTGTATAGATACAACAATTGTAACTGAGATAGCTTCCCCAGCTCTTTTGGAATAGCTCCACTGAACAAATTTTGATGCAAAGCAAGTAATTCCAACCTACTGATATTTCCAATTTCTGGGGGGATCTCCCCAGATAAATGGTTTTGGTACAAAAGTATAGCAGTCAGATTCTGAAGCCTCTGAAGCTCCCTTGGGATTGAACCTTCTAGCTGATTCTGTGCCAATCCTAACAACTCCAAGCTCTCACACTCACTAACTTCTACAGGTATTGGACCAGAGAGACTATTGAAGCCTGCCTTGATAATTTTTAGTTGCTTCAATCGACTTATTGACTTGGGAATTCTTCCAGTTAAATTATTGCTATAAATGACTAGCTCTTCAAGGGAATTCAAATTCCCAATCTCTTCTGGCACTTCACCGTACATAGAAGTCTCACAAAGATAAAGCTTTCTTAGTGAGGTAATCTGGGACAAAGGGTTCTGAAGTTCACCATGAAATTTGTTTGTACAAAGGTCTAATATTTCTAGACTACTACAATCAACAAAATCAACAGGAATAGGGCCAGAAATGAAATTCTTTGACAAATTCAACTCAACCAGATGAGGAAGGTTGCAGATGATTGGAGATAAAGAGCCAGATAGATTAAGTTGATGAAGATTTATGGAAGTTACCATTGAATCATCGCAATGCACACCAGTCCAATTGCAAGGAGTCAAATCAGAAGAATTCCAATCGTGAAGACTGTTTTGTGGGTCAGAAAGAAATTTTTTAAACTCCAAAAGAATCGAACCTTCCTCATTAATCGAACTTACTTGGACAACACCAACACAAATCACCATCATCAAGTAAAACCCCTTTTGGATGACGAAGTTCCTCTCTAAACCCATTTTATGTCAGAAAAGCGAGAAGCATACGGGGCTTTATTGAGTTGCAAAAGAAGTGATCAGCTGAATTTGAATCAAAAGCATTTGGGAAATGGAACAATCAGAAATTTGTGAAATCTTTCACAGCAGCAAGAAAGACAAGGCAGAACCCAAGGGAGTTAAACCGTCCATAATTATTCGAGAGTAATAGAGACCTAAAAAAGCAATGCATACCGAACGAGATGGCATGGACAGAGAGACAGAGACAGACGATACAGTGACAGAGACCTAACTTAACAGTCATATAGTGAGAGTTAATAAACACTTAACCGCCAACTGCGTGAAACTAATTGCTCTGCTTTATCGCGTTCTCTGTTCTATTTGTTCTTCCTCCTCCTCCTCCGCCACGTTCTACTGGAAATCCACCATCACCCGTTCTCTCGCACTGACAACCTATTATTTGTGTGTGACAGGATCACAACGAAAGGGGTAGTTCGCAGAGCTGAGACGTGGAAAGATATAGCATGACAATCTCCACCATTGTTGATGGGCTTCCGATTATGGTACTTTAGTACGAATTTTGCTCTGTTTCTTTTTAATACTCACGAAATAATTATCTCGAAGACTACTCATCCCAATGCACTTGGATGCACTTGGGTTTCGACTGCATTACATTGACATAATGGTGATATACTGAAAATCAGCACCAATTCCTGATTTTAGTGTTTTATTAAACGGTGGGGTAGTAACATTCCAATACCAAGAAGACTGTTTTATTTTGCCAAGATATGATTACCATGTTTGTGCTGAGTATCATCCGATTATGCATCAATAATATATATTTTTGTATGTGAAAGCCCAGCTATATAGAACTTTTACAACATCGACACAGTATGATTTGTATTAAACTATTTAGCATAATGGTTAATGGATGCTGGATGGGTGGGACAACAGTCTGAGTGAGCGTACTATAAAATATACAATACTAAGTGGAGAATTTTGGAATTCAGTTGCCGTATAATTTGGCATCTTCTACTTTCGACGAAGTAAATGCTTTGTGCCTCACGATGGCCTTTTGTCGACTGCAATAGCCATAGCCGCCGCCTCCTCCTCCTCTTCCCCTTTGGATGAATCTTTTTCCTGATCCTGTGCATAAATCATTAGATAATTTTAGGCTCTTCCTTTTATTTCCTTTCTTTCCTTTTTCATGAAGGCGGTTATGTTGACCATCACTTCTAATTTAATGTGAACTATCATTATAAAAAATTATCAATGATAGGGAATGTAATTAATTTGATGTTATAGCATAAGGGTCGGTTTATATTTTATAAAGTAAGAAATTCACTCAAAACTGGTAATTTGTTTTAAGGAAAGCAAAAGATGAACTTTAAAAAGTTCCACCCATTTTGCACTCCAACATTATCATTATCATAAGAGATTAAATTTCGAGATTATAAAATATGAAACTAGTTGCTCTGTTCTGTTCTGATTGTTCTTCTTCCGCCTCCTCCTCTTTGTTGTTAAGAAAATTCATGGTCATGCCTTCTTTTTGCACTAATAACGCTATCCTTTGTGCTCTACAGATGGGATTGACCGGATCAGAAAGAACTGTGTAGATTGCAGACGTAAAACGGGGACAGTTCTTACACAACAATCTCCACCATTGTTATTTGGCCTCACAATATGGTGACTCTGGTACGAATTATGCTCTGTTTCTTGTTAGTCTCCAGTGTAATCGTGTCTCTCGGAGACTAATCATCTCATATCTAAGTGCGTAGTGCTTTTGCTTATTTAGAACTAAGTTACGATCGCATGATTCTCAAGTACTGAAATTCAACACCAGTTTCTGATTCTCCTTTTTTAGAGAATGGTACGGTAGCATCACGCTGATAACAAGATGACTCTGTTTTCTTTTGCTTATTTAGAACTAAGATATGACCATATGATTAGCGGGCGTGCATCATTTCATTATGCATTAATAATATATCTTTTTTAATGTAAAAGCCCAGATATATAGAACTTTCACAACATCCATAGTGGGGCATGGATAATTATGCGAAAGTGTACTATAAAATACAATAGGAAGTGGAGAATTATGGGATTGAGCTGTCGGATAATGTCATTTCTACCTTATTATGCCAAGTAAATGCTTTGAGCATCACAGTGTGCTTCTGTCGACTTCTACAGCCGCCGCCTCCTCCGCCTCCTGATCCTATTCAATGTTCATGTTCGGTTACTAACAGTTTTGGTTTCAGGTTTTTAATGTTGACTATCAATTCAAAATCAATTTTATCATTATAATAAATTATCAATAAAAATAATATTGAAAGCGATTAATGTGATGTTATCACAGAAAAGGCACTTTATAGTTATTTTAAGGAAAATAAAAGATGAACTTTATTACTCTAAAAGATCCCACCAATTCTGCACTCCAGAGTTAAATTGTCATAAGAGATTGAACTTCGATTATAATATATTAGGAAGCTTCCATAGGATTAGCATTTGTCAATGCCGTTAGTGTCACTATTGTGGTAAATGCTGTTGGTAATGATGAAATAATGGTGAATATGCATGTCATCATCATTTGTGCCCAATCAGTTATTCTTATCATTCTGCGCCTAACTTTAATTAGTGGGAAAATCGTACCAGTAAATCCCAAATTTGTCATATCGAGATGGAGATCATTATATTGCATACTTGGCCTTCACTTTTGTTTTTCCACGACAAATCATTAATTAGTGGATTTATGTGTGTATTTATCTTTGATGTTCGGAAAAAGTTATTTTAATTTTAAATTTAAGCATGAATAGGAGTTTTGTAAATGTTAAGTTGCAGAGAAGCTATTCCATAGTCTTCTTTAGTTTCTTGTCAAAGGCTCATTCCATAGTCTTTAGTTTCTTGTCAAAGACACATTTGATAGACACCATTAAAAAAAAAAGGGAGGACTAGCTTCCTCGTATCTGGCATGTTTATTTTGTATTATATAAACTCAAGAGAAAGAACCAAGAGATGACTAGTCAAAAGGCTCATGCATCATGGACTTTTTTTTTTTTCTTTAATTAATGAAATGACTTGGTTCCTATCAATCTGGCATTTTATTCTGTTATATATCCATAAGAGGAGGAACCAGGAATGTGGTGACGCTTGAAATGGAAGAAGTAATACTCTTGGGCTTCTGGACTAGTCCTTATGTGATGAGAGTGAAGATCGCTCTGCTGGAGAAGGGAATTCAATTTAAGTACAAGGAGGAAGAAGATATATTTGAGAATCGAAACAAGAGCCACTTGCTTCTCAAATCAAATCCCATCCACAAGAAAGTTCCAGTGCTCATTCATAATGGCAGGCCCATCTGCGAGTCCCTCATCATCCTTCAATATATTGATGAGGTTTGGAAGCACGAATACCGTCTTTGCTCTGATGATGCTCACAACCGAGCCAGGGCAATGTTTTGGATTGATTTCTTTGACAAAAAGGTCAGGTCGTCTCTCTCAGATCGATCAATATGAATTGACATAGTTAGAATTCGGCTAGTAATATTGCATCCAACATCACATAGCTACCAATCTTCTGGAGTTGAACTGTTATATTTCTTGTATAAAATAAATGTGTTTCAAATCAGATCTTGTGATGTAGGGTCATTTTTTAATGTGAGGAGCGATGGATTGATGTTTGCAGATAGCGGATTGTGGTAGGAAGATGTGGGCTTGCAAGGGAGAAGAACAAGAGAGTGGGAAGAAGGAGTTCATAGATTGCTTGAAGCTCTTGGAAAATGAACTGGGAGACAAGCTTTATTTTGAAGGCCATCATTTTGGACTCCTGGATATCGCTTTGATACCAATCACTTGCAGGTTTTATACGTACGAGAGGATGTGCAAATTCAGCGTGGAAGAGGAGTGCCCGAGGTTCATGGAATGGGTGACAAGGTGTTATCAGAGGCAGAGCGTTTCAGACGCACTCCCTCATCCACATCAAGTCTATGACTTTGTGTTGCAGATCAAGAAAAGATTTGGAGTTGAGTAAAATTTCTGAATCAATTCCAAGTGTTCTTCTTGTTCTGATAATTCATTGTGATAAATGATAAATAAAGAATCATAAAATGTCCACGTCAGTGTATTTGAGCATATTTGGAGTTATTGTGATTTGTGAGTCCTTCCCTATAATAATATAAATAAAAGGTTGGCCACTTTGTCTTTCAAGTTAGGACATTCAGTTCAAGATCAAAGCCAATTGGGTCGAATTTGCGTGCACAGGTAAGCAACTTCAAAATAATTTTAAAAACAAAAATATTATGATCCTACTTTCTAGGTGCACCGAGTTTAAAATTTTGGTCAAAGAGAACGTGATATCTCGCACTATATTTTATTTATTGCTTTTTTAGTAAAAGTAGATAAATTTTTATTACATTCGGTTTTATAATATTTCTTATAATTAGGATTATGGGTGTTCAATTTGTCCCGCCCGGTTCCGATGAGTTCGGGACGGATAAAAAAAATTCGGGACAGGACAAATACGGGACGGGACGGGACAATGACCGGAACGAGATGGGACGCAGGATGGGTTTGTCCCATCCCGGGGTATTTTTTTAAAAAATTATTTATTAATAATTATTATTAGATTATTTAATTTACTTATTAATAATAATAATTATTTTTATAGTGATGTTTAGCTCTTAAATTGTAGTCTTATCTCAACAATATCTCTTTCCTCAATAAAATAATTCATAAAACCATTATATAATGTTTCTTTTACTGTATTTTTTTTTACAGTATTGTTTTTACACTTTTTTTATACTATATAATTGAGCTTTTTACATAATATTTTTTATAATGTTTTTATCTTTAGAAGCCCAATAAAAAATAAGCATTATAACATAAAAAAAATTCATATAAAAAATTATAATTTTTTTTTTAAAAAAGGGGAACAGGACGTCCCATCCGTCCCGATTCCGTCTTGGTCCCATCGGACTGAATCGGGATAGGACGGGACACGAGACTAAAACCTTTTTCCGTTTCTATTCACTGGAACGGGCCTGTTCTCGTTTTCTCCCTGCGAACATCCCTAATTAGGATAGTAGGTAGTATTACTGAAAACAAAAGTAGATAATTTATCAGTTTACCAGTCGAGCTCAGAGTGTCAGAGGGTTTGATTTTTTTGGTATTCATGTAGTTTTACTTTTTCTCCCCAACCAGAAACCAGACCTGAAAACTTTTTGTTACAGGCACGTATATCTTTCCCGACGCGAAAATCACAGCAAAGGACACCACATAGCCTTTCAGACAACGGTACGTTGACATGAAAAGATAGAAGAAGAATGAAATCATTAAACAGAGCATGAGGAACGAAGAAGGATAACAGAAACACAAACAAATAACCTTTTTGCCGACATAGTCTGCCCATAATCTAACATGGGCTTTCAACCAGGGGTCAAGTTTATGTTCCCACATTTCATCAATATATGGTATAGCTGCCAGGGATTCTCTTATAAACAGGTATGATGAAGTAAAGGCTTCTGATGCCCCCCACCAAGAAGAAAAAGAAAAAAGTGAAGAGCTCTTGTAAGTGCAGTCTGTGCAGAAGGCTACCATTTCTATTTCCTGAGGAACAAGTTAAACAGTTAAACTTCCTCCTGCTGACTCCTCACTTCTCTTCCTATTACTACTCTAGCATGTCGTATCAGATGTGGAGTGTAATCTTATAATTTGATTCAAACTGAAATTTTGTACTTGTTTGGTATTTGGTTTCTTCAAATTACGCACATCCTGCCTTTTCAGCTATATTATGTAATGCCCTACTTTCATCATTGTGACGCTTATCAGACCATGAGTCTCTGTTTCGTGTTAAATTTTTTGTTGAAAGTTTGTCTATCCTTTTATTTCCATATTAATCTTAGCATTGAAGACAGTGATATTATGTTTGCACTTCATGTGTTTCTCCATCGCATGCCCTATCGATAATTAATCTTTTTCTGAAAGCGATAATGCTTTCTAATATCATTTGTGCAATCCATCGTCAAGGGTTGTGCTGCGATATATGTTTACAGGAGCTGTCCTCTTCAGCTAGCTTTGTAAAATTTTGTCAAACTTCCATGGAAAAATAAATTGGTATTTATTTCTTCTTATTTTATCCCTTTTCTTACATACTTTTATTTTATTATTTATTCAACGAGGCGCCGGGGCTGCTCCTCCTGTGCACAGTGCGGAGGTGCGCACACAACGAATTAGAGAGAAATGGGAACGCCGGACCACTGCAAATATCTTCCCATACGAGATGCTGTGAAATTTATCAATCAAAAAGTGAACATAGCAGGCATTATACTTGATCTTGGCTTCCCAAGGCGTACTAGGGGCACTGGTAAACTTTCTGTTCCAAGAACTTCTGCTTAAAACAGAGCAAGGATTATTCAAATTTCGCCTCTTCCCCCCCCCCCCAGTTTCATCTCGTTAGGATTTTTACAGTATTTGGAGGGTGAAGTTTGGTCGGTTTAGATATTAACTGGCAATGATGAATCAAAGGCCGGACTTCGGCTGCCACTTATTGACGATTTTTTTTTTTTTTTTAGAAGTGTAAGTTCTCAGCCAGTTTCATGATTATGCTCTGGTTGATGCCAATATATACTAAAAGTCTTTTGTTTCATTGAGTAGTGTTCAAGTGGTGATTGTTTTCGGTTCTCCGAAAACTTTTCCTCCTTACCGTTTTCTTCTGTGTCTTGTTGCATATTTGTGCTTCTCCAAGCTTATGTCTTTTTAGGCCACCTTAGTTTCGCTGAATGTTACTCGAAAAGGCTAGGATTTTGTTTTTGTTCTTGGTTAAGTTTGAAAACAAGAAGTTCTAGGTTATTCCTTCTCTTGCTGGTTGACTTACTTGAATAATTTCTGCAGATTACTGTTGTACACTAAGAATAATTGATGAATCATATGGGAAACCTGGGATATCAGTTAATATTTTTGCTGAAAGTTCAGAGAGGCTTCCTCGTGTTGTTGCAAGTGGGGATGTAGTTCAGTTTTGTAATGTCTTGGTAAGTGTCTTCTTAGTCCTAGGTTTGATAGTACATTCTATAGAAATATGCTTGCTTTGTTTTTCTGGATCAATGTTGGCCATGGAATATTTTTATGCACTGTTTCTGTGAATTTAGTATTTGTTACATTGTGCCTACTTTTAAGTGAAGTTTGGCAATGTGCTGGTTTTCCCCGTCGTTTATATAATGAATGCAGCAACATTAGCCATATCACATGCTTTTTTCTCATGTTGGTCATGTTTTGACTGCTTGAAGGAATCTGGCATTTGAGGGAAAGAATTGAAGCTTGGTAATGATGATGAGAGACTTAGAGCATGGAGTTGGACTTTGTGGTGGGAAATATCTGTTATGTGAAGGGAAATTTTTCCTTAGATTATATCACGTGAAAGAAATTGGGGTTTTTCTAAATTCTTAGGATTAGTGTTCTAGATTTGCAAGCTTTATGATGCAACTCAGATGCTTATCCCTTGTGATAGGGTCATGGGGAGGGTTTTTATCCTAGTGAAGTCGAGGATGCTTCAGCTTACCCCTGAAAGTAAACAGAAGGGGGGAAGGAATGATAAGAGTGAAAGAAAGCAACTGGCCTGCTTGGTTAAACCCCTCAAATAAATTTAATAATCAAAATTTGACAGACTCATTAAATTCTTGTCAGTTCAGTAGGTGGGTGTAGATTTCGAAATTGTGAGAACCTTTTGGTGGATAAGCTCAATATCCCAGAGACATACATTTGGGGACTTTTGCATGTATATTGTAGTGAAACTTCTTGAGAATACTGTAGATGATGTTTTAGGTTAGCGTTGAATATAATCTACTTAATTTGTTGACATGCTGTATTAAAAGTATGTCTTTTCATCACTACATGCTATTTATTTAATCTTTTATTATGAGGAATGTATATTAACACAAATCTACTTAATCATGCATTTTCTTATAATTTCAGTTTACAAAAACATGTTCGCTGCTTTACAGTATGATTTAATACGGAATTGCAAGATCATACGAGCATCCAATGGGTGGGATGCGAGTTGAAATTAAAGGGGGCAAAAAAAAATAAAATCAGCATATGACTTTCCTATACGTCATTGATCTCGGACTTATATTGATTGAAGAAGGTCCATGGATGACTATAATATGCTCAGCTTTATTAATTATTTTTAACTTTATCCTACTGAATGCTGATAACTCATTTTTTGAAAAATGTTCACCTTATTAATTCAATCCTTTAGTTTCAAATTTCAGTCTTGTTTGATTACAAATGGTTTATTATCTTATATTTAAATTCAGTTTTCCATGTTAATTGCATCATTGTATCAACTCCCCCCCCCCCACACCAAAGTTCTTAAAATTTCTAATATATGTTTTTTAATTCTGCAGATACAAACTCATGGTGATGAAGTAAATGCCATCTTCAACAAAAGGATCTCCTCTTTTGCATTATATAATGGGAAAGACAATGATTATTTTGTCCCTTACCAAGTTTCATCAAAATTTCATCCGAGAGATATGGACAAAGCACTCATAGACAAGCTCAGAAAGTGGCTGGTCAGTTTTAAGCTTATTGAAGGTAGTCTGTGATTGTAACATTCAATGTGTCTTGAAAGCATCTGATTGCTTTTAAGTAGTTTACTCCAAACTATACTTGATATGCATGCACATACTGTTTAAGGCTCGCAATTCATCCTATCAAGCGTTGTTGTAACATTGTGGTGCAGTACTCCAATGAGACTAATGTAAATTTTATAATCCAAAATACCTGTAAATTGCCCGCACACGAGTGCCCGTGCACATATGGGTTTCAAAACCCGATAAACTATGAAATAGCCCTTTAGGTTTGCTCGATCAAGAACTACCTGCTACTTAAAATACATGTGTGACAAGTCATTGGTTTGATGATAGCTTCTGGTTTTTTGTTGATTTCATCACCTTACATGCTATGTTGGTGCTTGTTTCATGGGTCAATATTTAATAAGGTTTGCATTTGCTGTGTAGATTCCAGTAACTTTCCAATGTTAAGAGAAATCAAGGAAGGAGACTGCTTTGTTGATCTGGCATGCAAGGTATCTTTCGTGTTATGATTTTTGTATCTGATTATGAGAAACCTTTGTATGGTTGAAATATTTAATTACGCACATTTTGGGCTTGCTTTGTGAGGACATGCCAATGTTCTCTTACATCCCTTCTCCTGTCTGTGGTGGTTAAACAAGGCAAACACCTTTATCATTTTCACAATTACATAATTGTGATAATCTACTCCTTCTTGTTTTGCAAATTAAGATACTTCATTGCTGTGAGACTGCAAATCATGAATGGATGGTCTTCATTTGGGATGGCACTGATTTGCCGCCAAACAGTATAAGTGCAAAGTGAGTTAATTTAAATTTAGTTTTATATTGCTATTTTAATCCTGGTCCCATGTCAGTGTGAATTTTGGATAAATCATACGGAAGTCTATTATTGGTATTTGTTCTTGTTCCAATGGAAAAAAGTTTCTCTTTAATTATGCTGCATTATCTGTCTTTATAAAGGTAAGAAGCTCGATATTGGCATCAACGGGCATCACTTCCAATTATTTATATCTACTTTATGCTTCTGCATGCCAATTTGCTCAACATTGAGATAGCTGACAGGCTGTGGAAAGTGTAATAGGATACTTGATGTCTGTGTATGTGGGTGTTTATGTGCAAATGTTTGTTGCCTGTACATAAAAAAGTGAATCTTCTTTATCATCTATCTGAAGCAATCACATTTCTTATCTCAACCTTCAAGAAGGATGATCTCTACCAGCTACTGAGGCACCTCAGTGCTGCTGAGTTGCACCATGCTTCTTATTGGATGTAGTTCAAATACAGTGATTTAAAGCTACTTTTCTCTATACACAAATACAAAGCAAATGAAATACTTCTTACGAGGGTCCTAATTGTTTCTTCAGTCTTCCATGGTTTATCACATTGGGAGGTCTGCATTGTAAGGGTCAATGTTTTTTTTTGGTCTTAGAAGCTTTGCATGATATTGCATCTCAAGTTTGTCCCAAATTAGTTTAATTTTACATTAGGAACTTATATTGGTTCTTGCAAGTTTGGTGATTGCTAGATATTTATCTATTTAATTTTACATTCGATTTTCTTTCCGTGTACGAGTGAGTTTTGACTAACAATTGCTTCTCCACAGACTAGGGATTTTATCTAGGGTGAATTGATGTTGTGCTTGTAGAAACTTCTGCATTTCTTCCATAAAAATTTTTGGCTAGATGTGAAATAACACAATCAGTTTATATTTTAGTGTAGTATATATGAGTTACTGATTGTATTGCACTATTGCCAAGGAAATTTAATGGTATTTTTATAAATTTCAGCCCGGAAGATGAAATGCATGATCCTCTTCCTTTGCATCTTGAGCCTGAACCTCTTCCAAGAGAGTTATTGTGCAGTTTTCCTACTGTTGGGTCCATCTTGAGGATAACTTACGGCAAAGACATTGAAAAGAACCATCTAAAATTTTTAGATGTTTCTAAGTGGGTCAAAATTGTCAATATGCATCTTGAAGTGCGTGCAGGACTATGGCATGGTGTGTTTATTCCTACTACGAAGCTTAGGTACACACCAAAAGATGATAATCTCATACAAGAACGGGAAAGGTGTTTTTTCAAATCTGTTGGCTCTTTAGATGATTGAATATAGTAGATCAGTTGGTTGATGTTTTGATGCATTCTCTTTTGTATTTATTTGAGTCAGATTATATGGGGAGCGAATGTCATTAAACTGTGGAAAAATGCCTTTTTCGAGCTTACCTTGGACTTCATGTATTACAGGTATCACTTGCACATTTAATCATTGTTTCTGATTTTTCCTAAATATTATGTTATCATATATTGGATATTTTTCTTGCAATTTAAGTTATGATTGTGTTTGCCCCTACAGTGGTTGATCATAATGATGTCCCATTTGCTACCTTAATGGATGTCCTCACCCATTCACAGGTACCATATTGCATTTTCTTCAGTCCTGAATAGTGGTATCATTCAGTTTAAAATGCTTGGGTATTCCTTTTATTTTCTCTCATTCCCCTTTTTCCTCCTTGATAAAATTATCTTTACTGCCTGTTAATGTTCTTAATTCTTAAAGAATAACTCTCATCTTAGACATTTGCGTTTGTTGATGTTACATTCCCCCACTTCTCTGTGCATGAGTAGGTGACAGCTAAGTTTAAGTGCATTGTTAGAGTAGTAGCAGCAATGCCATGGCCAGCTGAAAAATTCCGTTCTGAGCATGGTATCTATAGGATGCGGCTGACACTAGAGGATCCTACAGCCAGAATACATGCTTATGTGTATGCTGAGGATGGGGTAAGAAATATTTCTTTTGTACCTCTTCATCATGGTAGCTTCTTGGCAACTCCCCTAGTTTCCTGGTTAATTTTACTCGTATTTATTTATTGGCATGAAGGATTTTACTTGCATTCAAATAATCCTTTACTGTCTTCCTTTTTAGAGGTTGGTTGTTTGCTGCAATTAGGGAAGACTTTGTTCTTGCCTGAGAATTTGGAATGGAATTTTCCCAAAGACCAAGTCTCATCTGTTACTTTGTCATCCATATTATTTGCCTGATCATTTCTCATTTAGTATCACATAATTGATGACAGGTAACCCTATTTGATGGCCATCCTGATACTTGCATTTTGATGCAGAAGATGAACATGTTATTGGGAGTAATGTCATGTGATGATAGTACAGTAACGAATTGTGTTTTAAGAAACCCACCATGGGTGCAATTGTGTATCAAGTCTTATTACACTTCTAAACATGATGTTTGGGGCAGTAGAAAATATCGAATATTCGACACTAAAATTGTGGGAGGAGTGTGAAATGATGTTAAAATAGCTTCTTTTTTTTCCTTACTTTTTTAAAAAATAGATGGCACTAATGTATGCACTATTTAGGCCTTGCGATCTTCATTTGACAAGCCAAAAAAAAAAAAGTATAACAATAGAATACTAGTCTCACATCGCGTAAAGTCCTAACCCTTATAGGAATTAAATATTCTTTGATATCTTCTACTCACGAGCTAGTTTTTGGGTTGGATACAACGGCGAGCATGCCAATTTTTTAAATGATCCTATTAGCAATATGACGTTTTAAAGCCAATCCAATTTTAATTTTGGAGTTTAAAATGGACCTTTTCGGACATCAATATATATAATTAATGAGAAATTATTTTTTTGGTTTTATTTATAAGTTTTAAATTTAGGAAGGAGTGTAGTTTGTTTTATAAGTTTTAATTTTAGGTTTTTCTTAACAATTAATGTATTTTTTTAATGTTGTTTTTAATTATCTCTTTCTTGTCGTATTTTTCCCACACATTTTTTTCATTTTTTTCTCATTTATTATAAGAGTATATTGGGAAAAAAATTATTTTTAACATATTTATTATTTTAAACTAATTTTAACTAATTGTTTATTATTCATGAATTAGTTATTTGAAACTTATAAGAATCAAATGGAGCATTTTTTCTAAGTTATGGATAATATGACTTATTTTTTATGCTCTCTAATACCTGATACTTGCATCTACTAGATAAATTGATAAGTTGATTTTGTTTTTTTATTTCGGTAAAATGATAAATTGATTTGATTATTTATAGCGTTTAACTAGATATTTGTTTTGCGCGTGGTCAGGAGTTTGGATTTATTATGACTCAATACATTTTGTGTTTTATATTATTATATTAATTGATATTAAAGATGAATGTATAATTTTGTTATAAATTAATTTTGTAAATTATACCGTATCAAAGTTAATTTGTATAAATCTTTTAAGTTTCATGAATTTACATGATTTCTTTTCATTTTCAATATATATATAATGTAATTTTTCTATAGTTCACGTTTTATAAAACTTTCTGGTATATGTTCCCAAAATATAAATTCAAAAATTTGACTAAAGATTGAAAACAATTAAGAAATTTATTTTTAAAAAGCTTTTTTTAACATCTTAATATTTAAACGACACGCTAGTTCCTGAATAATTTAATGATGCCCTCCCGAAGGCATCGTTTTTCCAAACATGAATTCAACTGTAATTACAAATTTCACCTTCCCATAATGTCATGACTTCCGTCAGAAATCCTAGCATTATGAAGCGCAGAAGGAGAAATTTGCTTCCATTTCACCTTTGACGGGCTGATTTACAACTTTCTTTTTCACCTCCTGGTCTGGTCTCGGTTTAATCATTTCATTGCATCAACATAGTACAGTGTAGTTTTGATTTAAAAAAAAAAGTAATATAATTTTTTGTCCTTCAAATTTGTCTTCATTTTAATTTTGTCTTTGAAATTTTAAATCATATGTTTTGATCCCTATAATTTAATAAAAACCCGTATCATTTTGCCTTTTGAAAGACTAAAACCCGGTATTTAAAATTTGAGAGATCAAAACCAAAATAAGTTCAAATTTGAGAGACTAAAATCTACATTTTGAAATTTCAGGAATAAAACCAAAATAAGTACAAATTTAAAAAACTAATAATAGTATTAATTCAAAAAAAGAGATATCATAATTTAACAATTGAACAATATGTAATGACAAGCTTCAGTATATAAAATAGTAGCCAGTTTTTGTTGCTCATTTATTAAAACTTTTTAGTAATTATCTTTCTTCTTTGTGACCTCGCAGTAATTTGCCCTAGTTTTTTAATTTTATGTTCACTAAGTTATTATTTAATATTTTGAGTAAATTATAATTATAATTTAAAAATCATAGTAGATTTTTTTATTTAATTAATTCTTTATCATTGAAGTGAATCTTTAAACTGTGAATGAAATTATCGCATCACGTTAAGATTTAGTTCTTAACTTGTTCTGGTCAGAGTAAAAAAGTTGCAGGAAAAAGTTGTTTGAAACAAAAATAAGAGGAACAGTTTTACATATTTAACATGGCAGTTGTAACTCGTAAGTTTTAAAATAAAGAAAAATGTGCCGGTCAAATTCTTTGTATCAATTATGTCAAGTTCTTCAATTATATATAGACATGTGTCTTTTTTTAAATTTTATATGACTTTATAATTAAATTCTATTAAATGTTAACATTTTAAAAATATAACATATAGTCATGTATAATTAGAGAATTTAATATAATGAATCTAAAAAATTTAATATAAGTATTGCACCAAAGTAAAAATAAAAGATATTGGCTTTTGTGTTTGGGAAAAAGGCAGAAAAATGCAATATTAATTTCATAATTCTCAAAACATCTGCTCAATTTAAGAAATCCCATTTTAGTCTTAAGAGACCAAATTGAGATTATCATGTTAAATAAAAAGACTAAATTGCCCTTCTATTTATTTATTGTTTTTAAAATACTAAATCCCCTATTGGCCAGTCGGTCACTGGAGCTCTAGCGACGGTAGTCACCGGAGCTTCAGCGACCAATCGACAATTATTTACCGGAGTTCTGTCAGTCGGAAAAATTTTTTTTGAAAATTTTCACAACTTCAGTGTAACAGTTAACAACTTTTGTAACGCTATTAACAATTTCAATATAGCAGTTAACAACAGGTTTTCTGGGAAATTCAACAAGGTTCGGCGACCGAAAATTTTTTTTTGAAAATTTTCACAACTTTAGTATAACGGTTAACAACTTTTGTGACGCTATTAACAACTTCAGTATAATAGTTAACAACAGGTTTTCTGAGAAATTCAACAAGCTTTGGTGGCCGGAAAATTTTTTTTGAAAATTTTCACAATTTCAGTATAACGGTTAATAACTTCTATGACGCTATTAACAACTTCAGTATAATAGTTAACAACTTTTGTGACGCTATTAACAACTTCAATATAGCAGTTAACAACATGTTTTTCAGGAAATTCAACAATTGGTCGCCGGAGCTCTGGAGGCCAGAAACAATTTTTTTGAAAATTTTTACAACATCAGTATAACGGTTAACAACTTTTGTAATGTTATTAACAACTTCAGTATAGCGGTTAACAACAGGTTTTTGAGTTTGTTAACAGCATTACTGAAGTTGTAAAAATACTACTTTTTGAATTTTTTCGGAAAACTTGTTGTTAACTGCTATACTGAAATTGTTAATAACATTACAAAAGTTGTTAACCGTTATACTAAAGTTGTAAAAATTTTCAAAAAAAAAAGTAGTTACTAAAGTTTTAAAAATGCCATTTTTTTGAATTTTTAAGAAAACATGTTAAATGCTACACCGAAGTTGTTAATAGAGTTACGGAGTTTGTTAACGGCATTATTGAAGTTGTAAAAATGCTATTTTTTGAATTTTTTGAAAAACCTATTGTTAATAGCGTTACAAAAGTTGTTAACCGTTATATTGACGTTATAAAAATTTCCAAAAAAATTGTTTCTGGCCTCCAGAACTCCGGCGACCAATTGTTGAATTTTCTAAAAAACCTGTTATTAACTGCTATACTGAAGTTGTTAATAGTGTTACAAAAGTTGTTAACTGTTATACTGAAGTTGTAAAAATTTTCAAAAAAATTGTTTTTCGGCTACCGAAACTTGTTGAGTTTTCTAGTAAACTTGTTGTTAACTGCTATGCTGAAGTTGTTAATAACATCACAAAAGTTGTTAACTGTTATACTGAAGTTGTGAAAATTTTCAAAAAAAAATTTTCGACCACCGAAACTTGTTGAATTTTCCAATAAACCTGTTGTTAACTGCTATACTAAAGTTGTTAATAGTATTACAAAAGTTGTTAACCGTTATACTGAAGTTGTGAAAATTTTCAAAAAAAATTTTCCGGCCACCGAAACTTGTTGAATTTCCCAAAAAACCCATTGTTAACTGCTATATTGAAGTTGTTAATAGCGTCACAAAAGTTGTTAACCGTTATACTGAAATTGTGAAAATTTTCAAAAAAAATTTTCTGGCTACCGGACCTTGTTGAATTTCCTAGAAAACATGTTGTTAATTATTATATTGAAGTTGTTAATAGCATTACAAAAGTTGTTAACTGTTATACTAAAGTTGTGAAAATTTTCAAAAAACATTTTTCCCACCAACGGAGCTCTGGTGACTGCCGCCGCCAGAGCTCCGGTGATCGGCCGGCCAATAGGGGATTTGGTATTTTAAAAATAATAAATAATTGAAGGGCAATTTGGTCTTTTTATTTAATATGATAATCCCAATTTGGTTTCTTAAGACCAAATGAGATTTTTTTAAATTGAACAGATGTTTTTGGGCATTATAAAATTAATATTGTATTTTTCTGTCTTTTTCCCTTTTGTGTTTCCATGGTATTAAGATCCAACTGAATTGACCGATATAGTCTAATCAAGCATTTTATATGGATTGATCAGTTTATATATTTTTTATTATCAAGTTTGAAATTATATCATTTTGAGTTTAAAAAAAAAAAACAGTCCAATCATAGTTGTTTGTTAGCACCTCTGTAAGATTGTGTGGTTTTTTTTTTTTTTCAGATTTTAAAAAAATCAACATACATATGTTATAATTAATTAATTAAACTAATTTTTTAATCTCTTTAAATTAATTATTTAATTCTCATATTATGAAATGGAAGTGGTACATACAATAACTGAAAAATAACACGATTTTTAAATCGCATTTTATCTTGCCCTTTCCAAATTCCAACTGAAATAACCGCACAATCCCCACTAATAATCAAATCACAGAAGTCAGAGCGGAGAAATCGATTATTTCAAAGCAAAAACTTAATTACTCATTAATCAATTCAATATGCATCATCGGAGATTAGGGATTGCTAAGGCAAAAGACGCGAAAACAAGCAAGTTGCAATTTGAGGTACCACAAGTCGAAAAATACTCCTATATACTATTTTATGTCCTTAATATAAGACCTAGTTGATTAACTTGAAAAGATTAAGAAAATTAGTTAAATTAATTATTTGTGATAAATATGTATTGTCTCTCCTAGAAGTTAAGTTAGTTATTTATAATAAATAGGTACTCCTCCGATTCTTAATATATGACCCAATTCTTGAGTTGGTTTTGGTCCTAAATATAAGACCCATTTATCATATTTATCAATTTTCTCTAAATTACCCCTATAGATACTCCCTCAACCATAATTAAGTAGAATAGGGAGAGGAGGTATTAAGAAAGATGATTATGGTGTTTTAGGAAAAATGTGTCACTTTTCTTATAATTAACTAACTTACCTAACTTCTTTAATCTAATCAAATTAGTTAAATGGGTCTTATATTAAGGACCAGAGGAGTATTGTCTTAGTTAGAACTACTATTTGATAAAACATTTAACATACACAACCACTGCAAGTTTGAAAAAATAGATAAATATGACAGACAAAGTAAATTTAAGTCTTATACTCCCTCCGTCCTTTATTATAAAATCTAATTTTTTGAATGGGTTTATCCCTTTTCATGAGATTCTCTTTGGGTTTGTCTGAGCATTTAATGCAGTATGACCTATTTTATCCCTAATTTAATATATTTAATATATTCTCTTTTTTTATTTATCTCATTACTCTCTCACATTTATCCATTTATATATAGGGGTATATTTAGAAAAAAAACTGTATTTGCTACATATTAATTGCTTTTAACTAATTTTAACTGTTTTCTTAAATCTCGTAATTTAGTTAAAAAGATCTTATAATAAGGGATGAAGTAGTATTTAGAATTAAATTAAAAATCAAAATAGTTCTTACATTAAAAAGCAGAGATAGTATTTCTCTGTGATCCCATTTTCTTTCTTTATCTTGCATTCTTTGTTTAGTTTTGTTCTTTGTTCATGACACCGTGCTTTGCCATGTGTCCTGTTGACCATAGTTAATACTGCTTCTGATTCTTTAGTTAAGTAATTTAAATAGATTAAGATAATGAAATTAGTTATTAATATTAAATACGTATTGTCTTTTTTAAAATACCCTTACAAATAATGTGGATTAGTTAGAATTAAAAAATTATCTTAAAAAATAAATAAATATAAAACACAGAATAAATTAAAACTGTATATTTAAAACCAAATTAAAAATTGACAAGAGAAGTTGAAAACATGACTAGATACCTATTCCCCCTTGTCACGATTCGTTGAGAAAGGGTACCCTGAAACTTGCGTCGATAAGGAATACGGGTTTTTTTTTTCTTTTTTTCTTTTTCTTCCGTTTTGGCCAGAAGGGAATACAGGTTCAGGCACAGGCGCACGGCACACGTCAAAGCCTTCATGATGTACCAAGGGGCTCAAAAAGAGCCGCACTTCAGACAAAATTTTTGTCACAAAAAGACGCACTTCGAATTTTATAGTCGAGCTAAGTCTTCTTACACATGCAGGGAAAGGTACTACAATATAAAAATGACTGGCAACACAAAGGGGGATAACGGAGACCAAGTACCAATTCAACGGCTACAAACACCCCACTAACAGAACAGGCGGCATGACCCACCAAAGTGCAATATTATTATAAAACTACTATTCAGAACGTGAAGCCGATCATTTGTCTCCTATGAATCTACTCAATTCCAAACCTCTTTCTCATCTGAAGCACAAACTCATAGACCTTGTGCTGATCAGGAAGAGACTTGGACACACTCTCTTTCTGCATGCATCTTTTGGCCCAAGCAATGAATTTGGGGCACTCAGCCTCTATCTTGAAGTTACCAAATGTCTCATAGGCTTCAAACCAACTGAAGAATGGAACAAGTGCTACATCCACGTATCCAAGATTGTCCCCTCCAAAGTAGGGCTTGTCTCCCAACTGTTCCTCCAACAACTTCAGGTACTCCACGAACTCCTTCTTTGCAGCTTCTTGTTCTTCTCCTTTGGTAGTCCATACTCTCCTTCCCACGTCATATATCTGTTTCAAGTTGAGAACTTAGTCATGAAATGATAGACGAAGGAAAATCAAACAGCAACAATGCCCCATTTTTTCTTAAAGAAACAATACTATGACGGGGAAAGAATCAGTCGCTCACAGGTTAGTATGCTTTCTCGCCAAAATTGAAAACAAAAAGCATCAATATATGTATAGCAAAGATGACGTTTAAGAACAACTCAAAACTTGATAGAAACATGAAATTATACTGAACCAGAAACATTTTGATATTGAAATAAAATAATAATTATCCGAATATGTTTTCCTTCTTGCCCTGTAAAATAATGCAGAGGAGTATAAAAACAGAACTTTCAAAATGAGAAATCAGCCCCATAAGTTGGTGAGACTCAGCAAGTATGACTTCCCATTTGCATTCAGACACAGGAGAAATCGACACGATTTGCAGAATCTTTTGGGGAAAAGAAGATAAAAACAATAAAAGGAGCTCCAATATTATATATTATCCAAATTTTATTCACTATCCACTCAGCCACGCAAAAATCCCCAATTTCATTTCTAATATTCCATCAAAATCGTCCGGATCAAAGCTAATGAGCAAACAAGAAGTAATCCAGTGGAGACGTTCCGTCAATTGATCAAACAATGCGAAGAAATAACAGCAATCTAAAAGAAGTTAAAGTGAAGAATCTGAAAAGAATTGAAGCGCAGAAAAGAACCTTCTTGTCAACGAAGTCGGCCCAGAATCGAGCTTGGGCTCTGTGATAAGGATCGGATGGGAGAAGAGGGGATTTGGTGTTCCAGACCTCATCAACGTACTGCACAGCAATAAGAGACTCACAAATTGGTTTGCCATTGTGAATGAGAACAGGGATCTTCTTGTGAATCGGGTTCATTTGAAGAAGTAGAGGGCTCTTGTTCCTCAAGTCCTCATCTTTATACTCATACTTTATACCTTTCTCAGCAAGTGCAATTCTAACTCTCATCCCAAAGGGACTTGGCCAGAAATCCAACAGAGTCACCTCATGTGCCATTGCTGCAGGATAAAACAATAACCAAATGCTAAAGAAGAAATAACGATTGAGAGAAATGCAGAGGTGAGGAAGAAGGACTTGGATACTTCAATTTATAGGCTCGGAACGGGCCTGGAAGCGACAATGGCGATCCCAACGAATGCGCGAGGCGGTGACGGAATTCTAGGTCAATAAAGCATTAAAAAAATATACTCCTCCGATCCTAATTATAAGACCCAATTGACTTATTTGAGGAGATTAAGGAAGTAAGTTAAGTTGGTTATTTATAATAAATAAGTGTTGTCATTCCTAAAATATCCTTGCTAATTAAGTATATTGACTAAAACTATCATTATTAAAAGGATTATCTTGGAAAAAAATGCATAAATATAAGAGACAAAATGGATTGGGTCTTATAATTAGGACCAAATAAAAAGTCAAATTGGGTCTTATAATAAAGACCAGAGGAGTATATACAACGACGCATAATTTTGTGAATAATAATAATAATAATAACGTTTTGTCCTATTTAGTTTTAAATAATTAATTCATAAATAACAAAAAATTAGGAAAAAACTAATAAATATGTTATAAATATTATACTTTTACTTTTAAATATACTCTAACAAATAAGAAAACATCCAGAAAGATGCGATATGATAGATTAGAGCAAATAAGAGGAAATAAATCATTAAGGGCAAAATTTTTAAAAAAATGTTAAGAGAAAACAAATTCAATTAAAGCTTATAAAATAGATAACATTCTTATCTAAATTTAAAATTTATAAATAAAACAAGAAGGAGTAATAATTAAAAATTATAATTGTTTATGAATTAATACAATTTTTCAGTTACGAGGCAAATTTATTTATCAATGAAAGTGTTATACTCCTCTGATCCACACTTCCAATATGTTTCATACAAATCAAGAAAAATTTTAAATTTTATTAACTCTCATTTAAAATTCAATAATTTTTTAATTTTGTCCCTATTTAATATATAATATATTTTATATAAATAAAGTCAATACAATAATAAATGAAAGGTAAAATTATATATCCATATAAAAATTTTTTTAATATCTTATAAATAGGATAAAAAATGTTTTATCTCTTGTAATTGTCATTTAATAATAATAAAGAGATGCGCCTTGGGAAACACCTAAGCAACAAAGAGACGATACTTCCCCTTTTATTACCCAACAAAAAAAATAAAAAAAAAAAAAAATCCTTCCCCAAATGTATCTTGACGCGTTCTACGAAGTTCCATGGTCCACACCTCTTTGGATAATATGCGCCTTTATGTCATGGCTTCCGTCACCATATTCTTCTTTTTTCTTTCCTCGCTTTCTCTTAAAACTCATATTATAACGGGCTTCGTAAAAGGATGGTTAAGGGCATGTTTGAATAACAGGCCAAACTATAGTTTGGGTTTCTAAACTATAATTTGGGAATAAAATCATCTAAATAGACATAAATTATCTGAAATCATGGTTTGGGTCAAAACCATAGTTTTGCAACCCAAAACCATGGTTTCGGAAGAAGTGAATTCATTCTACTTCTGACTCAAATTAGAGAGTATGATTGTGCCTATTAGAGTAAATCTCAACAATAATATGACCTTAATACCCCTTAATTAATTTTTTATAAACATATTTAATCTTATATCTTATAAATAAATATGCACATATTAATTATTTATTAATTAAATTATTTTATGTATTATTAATTATGTTGATAAAAAATATATCATACAATCTATGTTTTATGTAATTATCATATTAACTTATGCTTTTTTTAATAATTTGTACATATAAAAAGTGCTTCTGATAACAACTATCCAAACACTCTCACATCAGAATCACTTTTTCACAAAATCTATTTTTTTTTTCAGAATCTATTCTCCAGAAGCCATTCTTCAAACCATAGTTTGGTTTCATCCAAACACTCCCTAAATCGGAGTATGATCACTTTTCACAATGTGGCGTGGCATGAGAGGAACAAAGCTTTACATGAGAAAAATATCAAGACTGCTCAGTTTCACCAATTTGGCCTTTGATCATCGGCTTCAACGGCCTCATTAACTTCATTACTAAACCATTATACCTACGAGTACTACTGCTTTAAGCTGTATGTGTAGATTCTAATTTGCTCAACGTAATAAAACAGTACTTTAATCTTCAGCAGCATATACATATCCTTATACTATTTAATTTTTCCTGTTACAACAAAAAGTGATGGTTTCTTCTTTAGCTTGTGCCGTTCATGTCCTACCTCTCCGTTGTTAATGCTCTACATTATTATTTAACTTACCTGTACATATTTTTCTAATATCGATCATTTTGTCTTTTTATAAAAGAACTAAAACCCTATATTATCATATGTGTATCTATGCACATTGATGATCCATTGTCAATTTAATTACCTCATATTGGCAACCAAAAAAACTAAAACTCTCTAGTTGGCTTAGTTGTTTTTTATCAGCTCTAGTTGGCTTAATTAATTGAAAACTCTTTAATTACTTCACATATACATCCATGCGTTTCAAAATGTACTGCTATATTTTTTTTTAACAGAATGTACTGTTATATTTGCATGTAGATAATATAAATTTATCCTGGCTCAATCCCAAAATAACTATCATGTCAAAAGTTTGGTTTTATTTTAACATAATTTCCTTTTTAGATTTTTGTTAATAATTAGACGCATTTAAAGGCATTATAATTAAACAAGGGTATTCAAGAAAATATCATAATTGGATGCCAGAGTTTTAATTTGGAAGGTGAGGTCTTTGTACAAAGGGCCAATTAAGATGTGTTTGTGTCGCCACTGCCTCAAACAAAATATGAGTATCAAATTTTCAAAGCTACTTGGTACTTTTATAAGCCACAATTTGAATTTGTTTAACTATTTAATACATTTTTCTCATTTTTATTCCTAATTAGTTATAGGTCTTTCTCATCTTTTTCTTTTTACCCGTTTTTTCTTATATCTATCTTTTTACCCTCATTCTCTTTTCTACTTACCCTCTCTATAAGTAAAAGTGTTTTACAAGAAAATAAGTTCTATTTTATATATATATTTACTATCCTTAATTATTTTTTTCCCAACATATCTTTAATTAATTTTAACTAACTTTTTAGACATATTTTGAGATAGAAGGGGGGTATATGACTGAAAATGCCACGCAAAGGCTAATGTTTCGAATAGTGGGGTCCAAATGCAACGTCTCGATCTGGCTTTCACTGCTTTAAATAAGTGGGTCGTAATTACTAATTAATAGAGACCACTTGCTTTGGGAAGTGCAATAGCGGTTAAGACCGGAAAAGGGGTGCAATTGAAGCATTAATTCTTGTCACCAAAGTCAAATCTGCTGAACAAAGCACACATATTGACGTACGGTGCCCTTTGATAAGATCTACTAGTAATGGGTAAGACTTGAATGTAGCTGTTTTAGCCCCACCTCACCTTATCACCCACCATGCCTGCTGCCTCCTTCAATCTCTCACTGGTTTTCGCCAGGTGGCTCATGACCCATCGTCGATCGTCTCCAGTTTTATATGCTGTTGTCTTCTTACAAAGCTTACACACATACGCTACTTACTCTGCTTTAATTCCTCGCGCATCTGTAACCTTGTTGTGAATCAATGGTCATTTGACAAATTATTACGAGGTTTCGTCTTGAATGAATAATGATGATGATGACGACGACGTCGTTGGACACGTTGTGAGGAGGACAACCATTTTGGTTCTCCCAAATGCTTCTTTAGACTTCTGGGTGTGTCGCTGGCGCTGTTTCTTGTAGTAGTACTCCTCCGGTTCTAATTATAAGACCCAATTGATTTATTTGAGGAGATTAAAGAAGTGAGTTAAGTTGGTTATTTATAATAAATAAGTGTTATCATTCCTAAAATATCCTTGCTAATTAAGTATATTGGCTAAAACTATCATTATTAGAAGGATTATCTTGGAAAAAAATGCATAAATATAAGAGACAAAATGGATTGGGGTCTTATAATTAGAACCAAATAAAAAGTCAAATGGAGTCTTATAATAAGGACCGGAGGAGTATTAGGCTTCCTTGTTGCCTTACTCCGACATCCATCGCCATTGCTTGCGTATTATGGAGCGTCAACCTTATTTTATTCAACAACAATACACATCACATTAGAGAAAACTTTACATGTGACACTTAACGACAATTGTTAATTTATTTTAATTTCTTGAAAGCTTAAACTATCAATAAACAAACATTCTGTTTGAATAGATTCCTTTGCTAAGTACAAATGAAATCCCACGTAATCCCTAATGACTAATAATACTCATTTTCATTTAAAATATAAGCATCAAATCTTTAAAAAGAATTACTATTTTATAAGTGTTAATTGGGATTGTCAATCATTTGATGCACTTTTTTTTTTCTATTTTTTACTCCAAGTTAATTATATGTATCTCTTTTTTTTTTTTTACTCATTTATTTTCATTTCTTTTTTCATTTATTCTCTCTCCCACTTAGCCTTTCTATAAATAAAAGTATTTTAGAAAATTATTTTTTATACATATATATTATTTTTACCTTATTTCAATCAACTTCTTGAATTACATAGTTTAGTTATTTGAATAAGATAGAGTATATTCTCGTCCAATACTTCCAACACAATGATGAGATCGCTCGCAATGCATGCATTGTGGAGCTACAGGTACTTCTCCACACAATCCATTTGATATAAAACGAAATTTTTGGAGATTAACTTGATCAATTTTATTTTTCAAAAAGACTTAAGATAAACATAATTTTTAAGGATTCAGTTAAAATTATGGGATGACAAGTTTAATATAGAAGAGCTATCGAGGTGAAGCAAGTAGAACGTTTGCAGGGAAAAATTGGTTCTTATTACAAGACCCGTTGATATCACATAATTGGCTCATTGTCTGGAAACCTTTTTTTCTTTTCTTTTTCTTTTTTTGCAAACGTCAACATGTCAATGAAGCCAATTCTCAAGTCCTGGTGATTCATAATGGTGTGTTTGTCAAATCCTTCTACAGTACAGGTGTAGTTTTTCTTGCAGGAAAGTAGCAGAGCTAGAGCGTATTAGCCAGGTCTTGTCATAGCTGCATTCATCTGATATGTTGCAGCATTTAATTGATGAAGCTACCCTTGTGGTAGCAAGGCAGCAAGAAGGGAAACTTTTTCGGTTTCTTTCCTTTTTTTTTCCCTTGGGCATGCACTTTTCCGGGTTCAACCGCTTGGTTATGGCAGACTATATGATGATGTGTTATATTTAACCAAGTCTTTTACAGGTCTAAAATGTAGTGGTATCTAGGGATGTTTTCTCTGTCCTTACGTCATCTGAGTCAAGGTTGTTTACTTTTAGGTACTATCGGATCGAATGTCTCCCAAGGGACAACAGAAAAGGTACTAAGATGTATTGTGACGATTAAAAAGGTTAAAATTATGGGAGAATTTTAGTCAGCCTCCGTAGAAGAAATTTATTTTCCAACATTCCACAAAATTCTGAAATTTCATTACATTCCAAGGATGAAAATGAAATTAAATTTTATGGGTGAAAAGACATTATTGCTCTTTCTCCAATTGTAAACAGTCTTATTTCTCTTATGAATCACTTAATCTCAGTTGTAAATTTTTTTTTCACTTGTGAATCCTAATTTTGTGGTTCAATTAGTAAATGACCTTGCTCCAATTGTAACTAGCCTTATTTCTCTTGTGAATTACTTTATCTTGGGTGTAAATTCTCATATTCCACTTTTGAATCATAACTCCCAGACTTGTTAGAAATGCTAGCTCCACCGATAAATGGCCTTACTCTCGTTGTAAAATATTTTATTCCTTTTGTAACTTATCTTATCTTGATTGCAAATTTCTGTATTCCACTAGCAAATTCTAACTCCCTAACTTATTTTGAACGCTTGCTTCACTTGTAAATAGCCTTACTTCAGTTATAACTAGCCTTATTCCTCTTGTGAATTCTTTCATTCCACTTGTGAATTTGCTTTTCTATTTTCTATCTTTGCAAGGGTTTTCACCCATAAAATTTAATTTAATTTCAGTCTAAAAGGTGCATTGAAATTTCATAATTTTGTGGAGGTTGTTGGAAAATAATTTCTACCGTGGGGGCTAATTGAAATTCTTCCTAAAATTATTTTCTTTGAAAAATAAAGTGAGGTAAGCACATCTGCATGTCTAAACTTAAAGGCACAGACATTCTTCTTTTCATTTTAGCTTTCGGTGGAGCATCTTGTGTTTTCAAAGGATAGATATCATTTAGTCTGGCCCATGACAAATCCAACATAAAAGGAGACAGAGTAGGCCCACAAATGGAAGAAACATAGAAAAAGCAGCCCACAAATGATACTTATTGCGACTTTCGTATAGAAGCCTATTACGAAGGCCCAGGCTTATTATAATCGTTAACATATTTTTATTCTTTTATTGTTAGCTACGTCTTATTTAATACCTCTGGTCTTAAATATAAAACATATTTTTAATATAAATTATACTACAAAATAGGTCTTATACTTATGATCGGAGGGAGTAATAAAATAAAAAATGGGTAGAAGAATATTCTTGTGGTAGTTATTTAGTTATTTATGGTGAAAACAATTTTTGAATAAGGGAATTTTAATGTTTGAGATTCCCTCTCTTAATCACTTGGACTTCATAATACTCTTTCAATTCTAAATATAATGTTCTCTCAATTAAATCGTAAATACCAAACGACTCTATAAGTTGATTATTTGAAATTAATATGTAGAGAATTTGATTTTATTTTGATTTTCAAAAATAATCTTACCATTAAATGATTAAAATTTAATGCGTAAAAATACAACTATTTCAAAAACAAGGGTACTATGAGGAAAAAAATTTAATATCGGAAATAGAAGAAATGAGACCTTGAATTTTGAACAAAACTAAAACCCTTAAAGAACCTTATATTTACGAAGAAAGCAATGGGCAACATGCATGTGCAAGTGCAAATTGAATCCTACCTCACTGTCCTCAAAGCTGACACAAGTAATCAAATATCAATAAGACAAAAAATTAGAGAAAGAAATAATAACTATTGTTAGACTATAGATCACTAACTATAAATTGCGTGCTTTGTATATGTTTATTTTCTTAAAGAATTCTAAGAAAATATACCTTGTCTTGGCATGTAAATTTAAATAAAATCAGTTTTATATCGATGTTGCACTGACAAAAAGCATATAAAGTTCACCAAGCAAAGAGAAACACTGCACGCATGGTCAGAAAGAGTCTACAAAACAAATAAAATATTACTTTCGATTTTAAATATAAGAGCTAGTTTGACATTTAATTTAATCATAAATATAAAATTTCAATCCATTTTGTTTTTCATATTTATCCATTTTCCTCTAAGAAAGCACTCATAGCAGTTGCACATGTTAAATATTTTATAAAATGATAGTTCTAACTAATGCATATGATTAACAAGAGTATTTTAGAGAAGACAACATCTTTTTATCACAAATAACTAACTCAACTAATTTTTTTAATATGATCACATTAGTTAATTAATTCTTATATTAAGGAAAGGAGGTAGTAATAATTAAATAGGAGAAGATGATTTATCTGTTAGACGAATCTTGAATGATACATATATTAAAAAGACACAGTTTGAACTCGGTTTTTCGGGTAAGCAGAGATTGAGTTTGGTGGTGACATGGCATTGATAATAATATAGACGTAAAAGGGAACACGAATCATATGTTAGAGAGGACCAAGTGTGAAGGAAATAGGTACGTAGCTACCTTCAACACTTGAATTTTATTTGAAGGTTGCTTATGTATGCATGCCTACGCAAACAACGGGGAAAGTTTGCTGAGGTTGCCTTCTGTATGGGCACCCTCTCCCTTGTGTTCATTTCATCATCCATCATCTCCAAACTTCTCTCCATCGGCCGGCCTCCACACAAACATATATACTCACAGATTACTGAGCGTGTGCGCGCGCGCACGTAATGAAAACACAAAAAGAGTTTCGATCGGATCCGGCAAAAGGTTTGGCGCAATAAATGAAGATGAATTGGATATATATGGAGGGAGGCTCACGTAATGTGACCTTTTGTTAGGTCCCAAAAGCCAAAGGGCATATATATCCGACAATTAAGGATTCAAAACCCTTTTGGAGATGCGGCTGCCCTTTCGCTCCCCAACATATCGTTGTCTTCTATGATTTTCTGCCCAAAGTGCTTCCCCCTTCCATATTCGCCTTCCTTGTACATACATACACCCCTAAGGGCTATGTTCGTTGCGTGCGTGTGTGTGTGTGTGTAAGTGGATCCATGCAAATGCAGCTTCTTGTGTGTGTTAATTACAGCGCATACAGAAGTAGGTATCTCCACAAGAGAGACCAATCGCACGTACGTCATGCTTACGAGAATCCATCGTGTTTGGCATGCATTTCCAGTTGACACGTGAAGGCCCCTCCAACTTCTAATTAATTCATTTATTGGTCCCCATTACTATAGTTTTGTGCTTGATGATTTTGTAACTTGTCACTGAAAAAGTTCTTGCATTGATAACCAGTCACAATTCTTTACATAGTTTAATTAAACGTGACATTAATTAGTTGTTGTGATCCTACTAGACTACATCTAACACTTGTTAACTATGATTTTTGAAAAATGTAGCTCATTGCAGACAAGTTTTTACGGCTAGCTAGCTACTTGAGTCTCTTCTGGATTCCGTTTTTGTTTTAAAAAATCTATTATATGTCGCTTATAATAGCAGTTTTAATTTATTACCTAAAACAACGGGTATGGCACATCTAGCATCATTATAAGCTTGCTGTGTACCTTGGTCCTTCAATATAAAAATTTGATCAACAAGGTAACAAATTGAATTAGAACACACACGGGGAGGATAAACATGCAAATAAATTTAATTCTTTACCAACTCTTATATTAAAGGTGGGAGGGGGTATTATTTTCTCATGGAATTATTGTGTTTTGGATATTTGTATAGTAAATCTATCTCTGGTTCTTAATATAAGAGCTGATTGACTAATTTGAGTAGACTATGAAAATTTGTTAAGTTAGTTATTTGCAATGACTAGGTGTTGTCTTTTCTAAAGTACCTTTGCTAATATAAGAGCTTGTTTGAATTTTATTTGGTACTAGTTATAAAACCCCAATCTACTTTGTCTCTTATATTTATTTATTTTTAAGGTAGTTTTTGAAATAATGGTAGTTGTAGCCAATATACTTAATTAGTAAGGATATGTTAGAAAGAGAACAGCTACTTAATTATTACAAATAACTTAACTAGTTTCTTTTAATTTACTCAAATTAGTCAACTAAATAACTAACTTAACTAGTTTTCTTAATTTATTCAAATTAGTCAACTAACTCTTACGTTAAGGACGGAAGATATTATTAGCTAAAACTACCGTTTAATTGAATATTTAACATATATAACTACTACAATAATTATTTTGTAAAAAAAAGATAAATATGAGAAACAAAATAGATTGAAGTCTTATATTTATGATTAAATCAAAAGCCAAACTAGTTCTTATATTAAAAATCGAAAGTAATACTAAGATCACAGATACGAGGAAAATGTGAAGACATGATGAAAATATAAGTAATGGCGCAGCAGGTATTTTTACTTTTGAGAAAAATAATGGAAATAATATTGATTCTTGGACACTTACATGAACAAGGGTCTCCTTGGAACTGCTAGGGTTTTGGTGCTTCCATGGCAGTAAGGAATCTGAAGGAGGTTTGCATTAAATATAGACCTTCTTTAGTGTTTCTTATGGAAACAAAAAAGCATCAAAGTTACATGAGAAGAATTAAGAAGAAGTTGGGCTTTCATAATGAACTCTATATGGATCCCAGAGGTAGAAGTGGTGGGTTGGCAGTCTGGTGGAAGGTTGAATTGAAATTTGATTTAATATCTCGCAGTTCAAATATTATTCACGCTAAGATTTCTTACACAAGTGAAGATGTACCTGGTTTCCTTACTTTGGTTTATGGACCTCCAAAAGAAGCTTAGAGGTGTCGAGTTTGGGATAGATTGGCGAGTTTGGCTCCTTCTATAAATGGTTCCTGGCTATGTGTTGGGGACTTCAATGAAATTTTGAACTAGAGTGAGAAATTGGGGGGAAATCCAAGAGCTGCTAGGAAGATTTTTGGGATTCCATAAAATGATTAGTGACTGTGAATATATGGATTCGGAGTTTAAAGGTTCAAGATTCACTTGGGCTAATGGCAGACTAGGAGTGAATCATATCAAAGAAAGGATACACAGAGTTTTTGGAGATGGTGACATGAGAGAAAAATTTCCAAGAGCGATGGTCTGTCATTGTGAACCTGTGGGATCTGACCATCAATTATTAGTGGTAGACCTAAACTATTGACAGGAAAAAAGCCCCAGACTATTCAGATTCGAACCTTACTGGTGTGAGCATGAGGAATATGATGGGGTGGTTTATAGAACTTGGAATTCTGATAAATACTAGAATTGTAGTGTTGCAGATGAATTGGCTTCAAAACTGGTGAATTGTAGCAAGGCATTGAAGAAGTGGGGTAGAAAAGTTTTTCCTAATAAGAGGAAAAGGATTGAAACTCTCATGAGTAAACTTGAAGAATGCAACAAGCAAATTCTTACTAAGGAAATTTTGCTACACAGAGAGGCAATCTCTTGTGAACTGGAAGAGGTATGGAGATTGGAAGAAAAATATTGACATCAGAGATCCAGAATTAAATGGTTAAAGGAAGGTGATGGGAATACAAAATTCTTTCATATCACGACTGTCCAGCACAGGGCAAGAAACAAAATCTTGAGATTGAAAAATGAAAGTAGGAGATGGTTGGAAGAGGATTCTGCTATAGGAGAAGAATTTACCAATTACTATAAAAGCTTGTTTACAAATTCTGGGGAGTAGAATTTCTTTAAGGCAATCAGCTATGTTGACTATAAAATCTCATAGACTGATAATATGCACCTAATGAGAGCTGTAACTAAAGAAGAAGTCAAGACAGCTTGTTTCCAGATGGAAGGAAGGAAAGCCCTTGGTCCTGATGGTTTTATTGGGCAATTTTTTCCATTGATCTTGGGAAACTGTAGGAGATAAGGTGTTTGAATTGGTGAAAAAATTGTGTAGAAAATGGTGTCTTGATTGATCCTGTCAACATTACTGATTTGGTAATGATTCCAAAAATTGATAAACCCAAAGTAGTCACTCAGTATAGACCTATAAGACTTTGTAATTATTGTTATAAAGTGTTTTCGAAGGTCTTGACTAATAGAATGAAGTCTTTGATGCCGAAGGTAATTTCTGAGAATCAGTGTGCTTTTGTTGAAGGAAGAATGATCCATGACAACATTATTTTGGCACATGAGGCTTTCCACTATCTGAAACGAAGGAGGGGAGTCAACAAATTTGAATTTGCCTTGAAAATGGACATGAGCAAAGCCTATGACAGAATTGAATGGGATTTTCTTGAGCACGTTATGTTGAAGTTGGGTTTTGACTCAAGATGGGTTGCATGTATCATGAGCTGTGTTAGATTAGTGAGGTACTCAATAATGCTTTATGGGAAAAGAATTGCAGAGGTGATTCCAAAAAAGGGAATATGACAAGGTGACCCTCTGTCACCTTATCTTTCCATCTTGATTGTGGATGTGTTATCCAACATGATTAAGAAGAATGTGGAAAGAGGTGAACTTGAAGGCATTAAATTGAGTCATTCTATCGCATTGCCTTTTTGCAGATGATTCTCTATTCTTTATGAAGGCTTCAAGGAAAAATTGTAGAAGGTTAAAGAAGATTTTTGTAGTGTATGGCAATGCCTCTGGACAATTGGTTAACCTAGAAAAATCTGGAATTTACTTCTCTACAAACACTGATGAAAATAGAAGAAACCGTGTGTGTCGATGGCTTGAAATTAAAGAAACTAGAGATCCAGGGAAATACCTTGGCCTCCCTATTATTTGGAGCAAGTCAAAGGCTAAGTCACTTGCTTTCATTCGTGATAAGATGCTAAAGAAGATTCAATTATGGAAACAGAACTATCTTACTCAAGCTGGAAAGGAAATCTTGATTAAGGCTGTAGCTAATGCTGTTCCTGTTTACCCCATGACTTGCTTGATTGCTTCAAAATGCCTATGAAAACTTGCAAAGAGTTTGATAGGCTTATCTCTAGATTCTAGTGGGGGAAGGGTTTGGAAGGAGATGGGATCCACTGGAAAGCATGGGATATCATGACATCACAAAAGAAGAAAGGTGGCTTAGGATTCAGCAACTTTGCTGATTTTAATCTAGCCATGTTAGCAAAGACTGCGTGGAGAATAGTCCAAAATCCTGATGCTTTGTGGGCTAAAATGCTAAAAGGCCTCTACTTTCCTCATTCTGATTTTCTAGATGGTAGCAAGGGTGGGAGAGCTTCATGGGGTTGGTCTAGCATCTTAGAAGGCAGGGATTTCTTGAAACAGAATCTAGCCTGGAGAATTGGAAATGGTAGGAAGGTGAGGGTGTGGGAAGATAGATGGGTAGGGGAATGTGCTCTGAAGTGTTCTGGGGAAAATAATTCTTTTGACTCGGAAATGCTGGTTAGTGATCTCATGGAAGATGGACAGTGGAAGAATGAGATCCTTTATGAACTGTTTAATGTTGAAATAGTTCAGAAAATACTACAAATCCCTCTATCTTCATTGGAAAGAGGGGATAAACCAATTTGGTCAGGTAGCAGGAATAGTACCTATTCTGTGTAGATTGGATATGTTGAGTTCAAAAATGGCAAGTGTGTTACTAGGAGGATGAGACCTGAGTCTTCCTATGTGATATTGGGTGGACTTTGGAGTGAAATTTGGAAGCTTAAAGTACCTCCTAAAGTTCAGCATTTTATTTGGAGAGCAACACATGACGGCTTGGCTATGGCAGAAAACTTGTTTATCCAACCTCCACCCCCTCTTGCCAAACTCTTATTATCAGATGAGGGGTCTTGGTTTGGTACTGCTTGCACTACAAGATCAGGTGAGTTTGTTGGGGAGGAAGTTGGCCGAAGGAGTACTGATGCAACTGGTTGTCTTGGCAGTTTGGATAGATCTAGTATTGGTTAAGGTGCCTTCTTGCTTTTAGTTTGCCTCTGTGTGTTTTTGTTTTTTTCTTCTCTCTTCTAGCTTGTACTTTAGGTTCTTCTTTGTGTTTTGGTTTAGTTTGTATGTTAGGTTGTACTTCTAGGCTTTCTCCGAGTGCTTTTTCTTTTTCAGGCCTTAAGTGGCTATTAGTGTGTGTATCTGATTTTTTTTTTTTGAGTATTAATAAAATGGACTCTCATTTTGGTCCCCAAAAAAAAAAATGAATGAGGGTCCCCACTGCATGGGCTGAGGAGCAAGTGAGGGTTTCGGACGTTTTGATGAATACATCGATTCGTCAATTTGTATTAGGGCGACTTGGGAACCTAATTTGGAGTTTTTCATTGAAATAAAGAACTCCCATTCAGCTCTTTCAACAGGGCGAGGCCAATTTGGCCAAAAAAAAAAGGCGAGGCCAAAACCAAACCAAAAAAAAAAGGTTTTCTGAAATATATGTTCTTTTGTCCTTATTAACTGTAACAACTTGCTAAAAAAAATAGATTGCACTAATCATGTACGCACTATTTAGGCATTACGATCTTCATTTGACAAGCCAAAAAAAGGAAAAATACCTATAACAATAGAATACTAGTCCCATATTGTGTGAAGCCTTGACACTCACAGGATTTAAATATTCTTTAAATATATTTTATTTAGGAGCTAGCTTTTGGGTTAGACCCAAAGACCCGAATTAGTAATGTGACGCTTTAAATCTGATCCAATTTTGATTTTAGAGTTTAAAATGTACCTTTCCGACATCAATGTACTCCTCCGGTCCTAATTATAAGACTCAATTGACTTATTTGAGGAGATTAAGGAAGTAAGTTAAGTTGGTTATTTATAATAAATAAGTGTTGTCATTCCTAAAATATCCTTGCTAATTAAGTATATTGGCTAAAACTATCATTATTAGAAGGATTATCTTGGAAAAATGCATAAATATAAGAGACAAATGGATTGGGGTCTTATAATTAGGACCAAATAAAAAGTCAAATGGGGTCTTATAATAAGGACCGGAGGAGTATATAATCAATAAGAAATTATTTCCTCCGGTTCTATTTATGAGTTTTAAATCTGAAAAGGAGCATAGTTTATTTTATAAATTTTAATTTGGATTTGTCTTAACATTTAATGTATTTTTTTAATGTTGTTTTTAATTATTTCTTCTTGTCATATTTTTTTCACACATTCTCTTTCATTCTTTTTTTTAATTTATTATAAGAGTATATTGAAAATAAAAATATATTTTAACATATTTATTGTTTTAAGCTAATTTTAATTAATCATTCGTTATTCATGAATTAGTTATTTAAAACTTATAATAAGACTCGAAGGGAGTACTTTTTATAAGTTATGGATAATATGACTTATTTT